TGATAACATTCAGGGTTTTGGTTTCAGTCTACCATTAGGTAGATGAAGGTACTAGAGCAGACTATGAGTGTGGGTGTTTGGTGGTATTGGCAATGAGTGGTGAGGTGGGGGTTGCAGAGTCAAACTGATACCCTGCATATATGTCGTGACTTGTGTAAAAAAAAGCAGAGAGTGCGCTAAACACCAGCATGCGTAACGATCCAGCAAACAATCCAGTTCCTCTTTGACACCATAATGAAAAAATGAGACGGCAGACGCAAGAAACAGCTGTAAAATGAACGGCTTGCAGTTTTTACCAGATGTGTGTCAAGATTATTATCAGTAGGTCAGTCATATGTGCAGACACAAAACCTTTCACCTTATGCTCAACAAAATGCCACACTCTGATATCACATAGCACATCACATTTGACCATCCTATAAATGCACTTTCTTTTTGCATCTTCTTTTTAAAAAACGCAGGTGTCAAAACTAAACATCTGACTGGGTGCTGCATGTCAAAGCGGATTTTTTTAATAGCAGCTGACAAACATACAGAAGACACTATAATAAAACTCTGTGAAAGAGAAGCTACTTCCTCTGGTGGGGAGAAGCGCGGTGTTGGTTTGTGATACGTTTGTCTACAATAGCGGGGCCTTTTACACCATGTGCTAATCACTGATATCTGTTTCAGATATTAAAATCCTCGAGTTCTTTTCACTCACTTCATGTGCTACTTCGCCCAAACACCCGCATTTCCCCTCTCGATCATTGGAACGGTACAGTTTCGTTACACACGGTTTTCACTTGATTTCATTAAAAAAAAAAAAAAAAGGTCGACAATAAATTTTTAAAAAAGAAACAACAACAAGAGGAATCCCTGATGACTTTTTAATGCCAGCTCTAACTGCAGTGAGCACTGCTGATTAAATTTCATTCATCTCCATTGTCTCAGACAGGAGACATAAATCTTGGAAATAGGACTTCAAAACCTGCGTACCTGCATTTCTGGGTCTTGCTTTTGTTGTTTTAGCTTAAACTAACCTTCAGGTAAACAGAGTGGGAGAAACCAGACTGTAAAAATACTCCTGCATTCGACATTTTACGATGTAAAAGACGTCAATGGCATCTTTTTAGAAATTCTTGCAAATGTATTCAAATTACAGCTTTCAGTCCTCAGGGTAAGTCTCTCCAGGCTCTTCCTGGGAGACCTCTGCAAGCAGAGTGAGCTGCATCCACAAACTGGCATCTTCACCTTTCTCTGCAGCTGTTCAGCGGGTTTAGATCTGAGCTTAGCTCGACCAACCAAGGACAGAGACAGATGCCTGTATTCGCATTCTTTATTGCCACTACTGAGCAGGTATACTCAGCTCTCAACATAATGTGGTGTAATAAATCTTCTGAGTTTCTTATTTTATTTTAAGAGGCCTTGCTTAAATCAAATAAAATGCTCTTACTTGTCCATTATATTCCATTCAGCTTCATGCTAGTCAAAGTCTTTGTGGTTCCACAGACCTGCATGCTACACAAACATACGTGATTATGCCACAAACTAAAGAAAAAGGGGTATTTCCACCAGTTTGTAAGACATACAGATCGTCGCCTTGCTGAAAGGTGTGGCCCAGTCTCATGGTGTTTCTCCACTGACCCCTATGCATTTGGCTACGTTCACTCTTCCCTCAATTCTGTTTCCCTGTTCCTGCCTCTGAAAATAAACCACCGCGCTTCACCGATGGGATGAGATTAGCCATGCTATGAGATTAGCCATGCTATGAGCAATGCATGGTATTTGCCAGATATGGTGGTTGGAGTTCTTTCCCAAAAGTTACTTTTGCTTTTTTTTTTCTCTCTGCCTTTTTTTCTCAGACTACTGAATTTTCTTTGTCTACGTGACAGACGAGTAAAAGCAAAGATGCGTAGGCATCTAAAAATACATGCAGCAAAATAAATACCAAATGTGACAGACTGCAAGCTCCTTTGACGACTGAGCACTCTGTAAACTTTATGTGCAAAATGTCTCCTCTTCGAGATTAAGTTAAGAATGTTAATCTGAGAATCAGTGGATATAATGTAGTCAAACTGCAAGCACCTGAAAAAACTAAGTCACACTTCATTGAGTACGGTCACCTTTACTTTTGATAAATGGAGATCTGCTGTGTGTTCACTCGGAACAATTAAAGGAAGCAAATAAAACCACATTCATTGCATTCTTACAGAATCACAATAACATCACCCTCCACCACCATCGTCACTCTCACAAACATCTAAAATCTGAAGGACACACCCTTTCCTGAACAGTGGACTGTAGATAAGCTGCTCCCAGCGGGAAAACTCACTGTAGCAACACACACACACACATACATGCACACGGTGTTTCGTATTCTTACACCAATTCTGCACCAATCTTAGACTGCCTCCACCCTTCTTCTCCCTCATCTCTCTTTCTTTACCTTCCTTGCACTTCACCTTTCTCTCTCTCTCTCTCTCTCTCTCCCCCCACTGACTCTCTCACCCATGGGCAGGAAACTCCACAGGATGCAGAGTGTGAGTGGGGCAGGAATGATAGGACAATGGGAAACAAGCTGTCACTGAACCCTCACACATACACACACAATAGCACACACACACTCTTAAACACAGGGAGACAGAGCTGGAAGGCAGCAGTGGAAAAGTAAGGTGCCTCGGTTATCGGGATGTCCTGTTTCCACATGATGTCATCATATCCTCCAGATACAGAGGCCCCGAGCTGGCTCGGCTGGAGGCATATATGAGCGTTTGCGTGCACTGAGGCTGAACACTTTCAGCCTGCTTCTTAAGAAATAGAGCATCACTGTCTGGTCCTTTGGGTTCATCATGAAGACTCTCCCTCGGATGACGGCATGGATGAAAACGTACAGAAACTTGTCAACTCGACCACACCGCCGCAGGGGTGCAGGGGTGTGTGACTATCAGGCTGCAGGCCTCATCTTGTATGAGTATTCACCTGTCACGGCCCTTCTCCGGTCCTTAAGAAAGCTGTGCGATGTGACTATGTCTTTTTCTAAACTTCTCACTAAAAAGCACATCCACGCCCCTTTCCTTCCTGCCTTGCTCCAAGGCTAAAGACAGGAACTGACCTGGTAAAGAAACAGGAAGTGATGAAGTCCAGCCTTGGACAGCCTAATCCTGTTTCTCCCTGTCCAGCCCCTAAAAGATTTCTGGCCAACTCCCTTGCGGATATTTCAACGTTTTAATTTGTAATCTGTTACCTATCTGTAGCTTCCCGATCAGTGATTGGGGTGGAAAAAAAAAGGCATATACCTCCAACAATGAGGCTATGATAAAGCCACAGAAACCTCTTATACCTTTTCCTCAAGGTGGTTTCCTGTAGGCATGTGGCCAATTAGTCACATTTAGTGAAGGAATGTTTAACAGTCTCTTCTGGGTTTAGGCCTAAATGATTAACCCTATCCAGGCACGTTTTACCATAAATCCAGAGCCTGTATGATTTATTAAGCCGTTATTAAAGAAAAAGAAGAAGCTAAAAGGGCAATAACTAAGGTCTTATACTGGAAATGATCCATTTGAGAGGACCAATTTCTCTGGTAAATTCCGCTGTTGCAAAAAAAGAAAGAAAAATTGCACTATTAGCAAGTCTGATTTCTAAATATCACCCTCTGTGACATCTGTCTATCATGAAGAGTGGAAGTAAGCTACTGGTAAACCCACACTTGATTAACTTCTCATAGCAAGTAGACAAACTTCCTTTTATTTCAAACAGATACCGACGTTTCTCAATTTTCACCAGAAGCTGAAAATCAACGACAGCGCCCTGTGGCATTAGAAAAGTGGAAAATATTCTACTTATTTAGGCATTCAGCTCGCATCCTTTTAAGTCGTTACAGCTGAACTTTGTCTCGAGTCAAGCGAATTTACTCACATATAGGGCTGAAGTTTAAATAGGACGCACAGCCCACCTGTTGAATGACCCCACAATTTGGTAGTAAAGCACCTGTTTGGTTTATTTATTTTCATTTTTTTTGTTCGCTTTTTGTTTTTTTAGTCTCAAACACAGTAAGCCAGATGTGTTACACCGCTCTGATATTTACTTTGGAACAGAGAGCAGAAACTTACCTGACAAAAAGAAATCACTCCGGACAATCCTCGAGTCGGGACGCTCGGGGACGGAGGTGGGTGAAGCGAGAGCGCTGTCCGTGGGAGACTCGAAGGGGACACACGGGAGTGAAAGAGCCGCGCGCTGCTGCTGCCTGAGAGCGAGAGGATGAGGCAAGCGCGCGCCTCGGCCGGAAGGCTCGGAATGAACTTCACGCGCACAGCGAGGTCCACCCCACATAGGAAGAGAGTGCGTGCAGCGGACAGTTCAACAGTGTCGTTACGCTTAACAGAAACGATACATAGGAGCGTGTTCTCGGTAACTATGGCGTCAGACTGAGCTTACGGTCACGAGCTCAGCTTGGTTAAAACGTTAAAGGAATGCGCGCGCAATTGAGCTCACGATAAAGCAAACCGATAAGAAAGTTTTAAGATTTTTGTTTTGTAATCTCGAAAGAATGCGATAAAAAAAAAAAAAAAAAAGAGATTATAAAACGCTCCGGTTCTTCAACAGTGTATCCTACACACAGCTGGGGGAGTGTTTGCAGTCTCTTCGTGCGGACGATGCTCAGATGAGGTGGTGCGCTACACGTTTAGCCAACTCGTGTGAACGACAGGAAGACTGAATAAGATGTGTGACATCCGCGTGCAAGAAGGCAGAAGTGCAGCAGATGCTTTTGGGAGTGTGGCGGCTCACTGTGCCGGCACCTTTCTGTCTGTGATCTGCATATTTCAACAGAAATCGGACAGATGTTATTGGCACATCGTTATAATTAGAGTTGCACAAGAAAAACTTACCTTCAAAAAGTTTTTTTAAGCCTTTGTCGCCATCTTGCGGTTTGTTAATGTAACTTAATTAGCCCAAACTGCCCATATCCATTATAAGAAGGAAAGACTTAAAAAAAAAAAAAAAACCCACACACAACACTGTTGATTTTGATAACAAAGTAACTTTTATTGTATATAGAAATACAAGCTGTTTGTCTCATCTCAGCCTCAGTGTGCAACAGACAGAGAGGACTGAGTCATCAGTAGTACTGGTGTGATCAATGGCGTTTGTCTGACAAGCAAACAGTCAGCAATGAAAACAATCTGAATCACCACACTGATTTTGATATGCCAGACCCAATTGCACCACTGCACCTGGCGTCTGTGTGACAAGAATGTGTGCAAGACAGCACCACTTGAGGTTCAAGTGTGAAATTAAAACCTAATGATAGACTTCAGTGCAAAAAAGAAGAAAAGGAACAAAATAAAGACAAAAAATGGTAACGCAATTTAAATACATGACATTCCAGGCGCAAAGCAGCATCAAAACATTAACACTGAAACATACGATATGAATGAGCAAACATTCACTGTAGTGTATGTGTGTGTGTGTGTGTGTGTGTGTGTGTGTATACAAGGATTGGACTGTGGTGTAAATCACAGCTGGCTCAGCATCTGCAAAAATGTGTGCAAGTGAAGCGAGGCTGTCATCTCATGTAGTGTGTAATAGCTCGTAAGATGTAGAGAAGTGCCGCCTGTAGCCGGGCTTCCATCACTATTAGGTTGGCATGAACCTGCACCCAAAAAAAGAAGAAAAAAAAAATAAAAAGAAACATGTCATTTCCTTCAGTTCACAAGGTGACACGCTGTAACACTTCCTTCTCTGATGACATTTAAAAAAGGAAGGACGCACTAAAATGCCAAATGATACATTAGTTGATTCTGAGGGTACCAAAGAGAGATGACGTGTTAAAATGTCAAATGATACGTGACAGAGGAGGCCAGGTTAAGTGCCTGTTTGAACTTGTCATACCTTTTCAGAGTGTCTGAAGTGTCTCCAGAAGGAGTGGTAAATGCGTGCTGTGGTCTGCTCGGGGTGACAGGCCATGGTTTTTACAAACACCTTCAGAGAGCGTTCCAGCAACACGTTCACACTGCCGTAGTCGTAATCATCGTATCTGGACTTGCGAAGTGACATAAATGTTAATGCTACAGTAGAGAAATGTTAAAGGTGGCTGAACTTTTGCATGGGTGGCACCTTTACACCCACCGTATTCCATAAAGACAGTGGATGTAGTTCCACAGAGCTTTTCTTAGAGTGTGAGTATCCACGCCTTCATGCATGGCCATCCTGTGGTAGGTCAAGTTGCACACAATCTGCAAATTCACATTAGTGTTTGCTCAGTTCACTTTTTTATAACTTTATAGAAGATCACCTCCTGTAGACCATTATACAGAATACAGATTTAAACACTTCCAAAAGTGGCTTCACTTTTCAGACCTCCATCCTTTATATACAGTCTAACCAAACCAGGTGATGCTTGTAAAATTCACAAAAGAAAAATGAGCTGGGATTGGTGTCAGTCATTTGTTTATTTACCGAATGATCTGGAATAAGTGCAAATAAAAAGATTTCTGTGTATTTGCAGTCTACTCTAAGCCAGGAAAACCCTTTTCTACAATACACATGTATTCACCACCCACTTCTTTTTCCTGACACTAAGCAGTTTTATTTCAAGTGTATAAACAAACGAGGTCAACAGTATCTCCTCCCATTCTTAGTCTCAGCTAGGTGAAGTAGTGTAACATGCACTTCAAGAGATAGACCTTTCACATCACCCACACAGCAGCCTTTGGTGATGGTACCTGAAAGTTTTCATCCAATAGCTGGCCCATGTCTGGCAGGAGCCTGTTAAGCAGAGAGAATCCATGGTCCTCCCATGAATAGTCCTACACATGAGACACAACCATTAACAACGTTACCATCTACAACACAAGGCACAAAAAAATCAAGGAGTGTTGCTCACTATAATAAGTTTGACATAGATTTTAAAAAAGGAAAAATATGCCTTAAACTACCTGTGCTCGCATGGTGGGTGGTGCCTGCTCTCCTCTGGGAGCAAAGTCCTCATATCTGAATTCTGGTTCCTCCACAAGACGCAACACCAGGTCAGGTGGAGCGCCCCTCACCACCGCTAAACCAACAACAGAGAGGAAGTGGTGAGTCAACAGGTGACTGAGAGTGATGCAGGGGTAAGCAGTCAGATCTGTACCCGTAGGTATGCTTTCGCTCCTCTCCCTTTCAAAGCGAGTAACCATCTCCTCCTGTGTGCACTCCTCCTCCTGCTGCTGCTGCAGCTCCACCATCCTCTTCATCAGCACCTCCACCTCCACGGCTCCATCAGCCAGCTGGAGAAGATCAGATAAATGAAGTCGGCGCTTTGTTGTTTCAGTGTGTGTTCGCAGTTTTCTTTCCTAAGTGAGTGGGTATCTTTTGGCTGTTACTAAACTTTAAATCAACTACCTCCACCCTCCTGTCATTTTAAGCCTGTTAGGCCTGAGATCAGAACATCTGTTTGACTCACCTCGTGCCTGCCGTCCTCGTGAGCGGGGCTGTGTGCGGGGCTGTGAGGACTGTGAGAAAGTGATGGAGGCTGAAAGGTGTAGCCCCCAATGTGGTCAGGTTCTGGGTTTAAACCACAGCCCCAAACGAACGAGCACAACGAGTGAGCGTGCGCCATGAGCACCACGGCGTGTATCAGTTCAGCCAGTGACCAGCGAGGCTCTGCTCCGGGGCACACCAGTTCCTGCAGGACAGATAGGCAGATGTTGGGCTCATGCAGTTTCAGATTGTGTGTTTGCTGGAAATTAATACCAGGCTGTGGACCAGTTTGCTGGGGGTGTTACCGGTTTGGCATTTGTTGGTGGTTTGATTTGCCTGTCTGCACTAAAGATAAGCCGCATTATCTAATTTAGCAATTTCCCTTAACTGCAATTTTAGACAGTAGAAAATTCTACTGGAAGCACTTTGATACACTTAAACTTTAAGAAGATATCAGTGTTATGTTTGATCCTGTTAGATGGTTCTCAAGTTAATCTTTTAAAAGCAGTTGCAGATAGACTTTTGTGCATGCCAACAATGTGGTACCTTGTACAGAGAAACAACACACAAAGAAGGCTTCATTTAGGGTTTGCTCAAACTAGTCACCCAGTGCTTGTCTGACTCAGGTGATCAGCGTGCACAGTTAAGCACACTCAAGTGCTATCTCCGTTGAGATACACATCTGGGGTGACTGTGACAAAGAAGGCAAACCCCCCCCCCCCCCCCAAAAAAAAGATATCACACTAATATTGTCATTGTCAATTCTTTTGACTATGGTAATGAAAATCAGATATTTCACTCTCACAGTCCTAGGTATCAGATTTAAAGAGGCGGAACTACACCTGTCTGTGCTGATGCAAAATGATAGGGTCTGTTACTCTTTATATGGAAGACAATTGGGTGTTTACCACACAGGAAATAGCGGCTGAGTCACTGAGGGAGTGAGTTTGGATTCAAGTCAGAAATTAGAGTTGGAGTAAGACACAGGGAGTGAGTGGGCGAGCGGGAGATGTGTCTGACCTGGATGTGCTGCTGCGTAATGAGCCAGGGTCTGTGTGCCAGCAGCTTGTTGAGTGTTTGCAGGCTGCGGAGTTTGGCGGGAGCGTGCTCCAGGCCGCTTAGCCAGCTCTCCTCCCCTCCGGCCTCCAAGTAGCCTGCGCTGTGCTGCTGCACCAGGTATGAGCAGTGGTGCCGAGCTGCAGCCTGCCAGACGCAAAGAACGGTCCAAGTTAACAGCCGGGAAGAGAAACTCTAACCCTGACCACTGAAAACAACGCTTCACACATTCTCTGTTCACATATCTGTGTGCAACAAATCCATAATGCAGAGAAAATGTCAGAGGTTAAAACAACACAGCTGAACTTGCACAGGTGGGTGCAGTGAGTGGTATTTCTAAAGTGTTACGGGCTGTTAATGTGAAGCAATACTGAAGACACATAGATCGCATTAGCAGAAAGGCACTAACAGTCTTTGGATGTCTTACTGTTTTGCTATGAAACAATTTCTGAATGTCCCTGAAGGTTTCATTGCCATTACTGTTCAGTGACCATTACCAAAACGTGTGTTATTTGCCAACTGAATGCAGATGTTTAAGCATTAAGAATGCGACCTTCTAAATACTCTATTATACAAATATATGATCACATCTCAAATTTGAGTTCAGTCAGTATAGCAAAAATCTGTATAAACATTTTTCAAATTGAAAAAACATAAGTCCAAGGCACAGCATCATAATATTACAGTATTAACATCTAACTGAAGCTACATTCCCAGGTTATACTACAAAATGTCTTAACATTAATTCTAAGATATAAAGAGAACTGTGAATTTTGGGGACTTGAGATGCATATTCTGCCTCTGCAGCTTTTTCAAAAAGTCCCTGATAGTGGTGACGTCTCTCCCAGTGCTCCAGTTTTGTGACATCTACCTATATCTTGTAAAGAATCCCTCAGCTTGCACTGCTACCAGGATGAAAGCTTTCAAAGTACGGACTGGAGGACAATGGACCAGAGTTCTGTTTTGCCCTCCAGGCAGCTGTGTCCCAGTAGCTCTGACATCAGGTGAAAACTACAAATAAGTTTTATTAAAAAAGAAAGTTTCAGACTAATCTTAAAAGAAGAGAGGGGGTCTGTCTCCAGGATCCAAACTGGGAGCTGGTGTTAGGGAAGAGCCCCATATCTTTATTCTACTTTTAGAATTTCTAAAAGTAGAACTAGGAGTCACAAGTAAGCCCGTAGTCTGGCAGAACAGTGCTCTGTTGAGATAACATGACACCAGAAGGGCTTCAAATATGATGGAGTTCGATTAATCCAGATTTTATGGTGAGGAGAAGAAGTTTAAATTCAGTTCTGGAGTTAACATGGAGCCAGTTAGAAGCGAATATGAGAAAACCATATTCACAACACTCTGATCATAGGCAAGACAAGCATCGAAAATACGTAAATACATAACAATGAAAAACACTGGAAAATACTGGCAACAGCCGGTGCTACCCCTCAGTGTCCTAGCAGACACACCTATGGTATCAATTTCAAAATCCTATGTCGCCTTATTCTCAAGTTGTTAAGTCATTCACAAGATTTTCAGAAAACCTGACCTCTCACCTTGAGGTCAAAGTCACTGAGAGCCGAACTCCTCAGAGATTGTTAATAGAAGCACGTATGGTATCAACTTCAAAATCCTTGGGGTCTTCCTTCTCAAGTTTTCCCATTCACAAGACTTTCAGGAAACCTGAGCTCCGACCTTGACCTCGAGGTCACAGATTCAAACTCTTCAGAGATGTTTAGACACACCTATGGTATCAATTTGAAACTCCTTCGTAGCTTCGTTCTTAATGTTTACAATCTTGGGTGTCCACATAGCTGCCCGTTCAGTGGGGTGACGACAATACCCCATCAGCCTTTTATGACTGAGGGGTGAAAAGCAAAAAAAGCAGGAATTATGTGATAATCCACTGTAATCTGGTATTTTGACTTAGTTAACGTTCTCATTTGTTTTTCTTTTCCCTACACATTACTATGTGTCACGACAAGAAGCCATGAAGCAGGAATTCTGGAAAGTCAAACATGTGGTGGTTTAGAACTGTTTAGAACGCCTGCAGCATTTAATAACAATGTCAGTATTTAGCACCAGTTTATTGCTGTAGCAGGAGGAAGCAATACAGTTTTTATTGCTGTGTTTATATTTCATTCTATCCCTACTGAAAACGGACCATTAACATCAGTGCTTGCAATTGTAATCCTCTAAGTGAGACTTCTAAGGTCCCGGAGAGAAGACAGAGGACAACAAAGGACCTGAGCCTTCTACCTGCACACACAGTCATTGCCGTCAGACAACACATAAGTGTGTTTCCATAGCATTCACACTCAAATGCTCAGAACTCGTACCAAACATCACACATCAAGTCCACCAATATTACCCACTGCTCTAACTAGTACATCAGGCCAATTAAAGGTTCTGGTGTTTAAACACACACACACACACTACTCTACTCTAAGATTTTGTTTGAACAGTAGAAAAGATTAAATGGAGACCAAAGAACTATAATCATTTTGTATCAATGACAAAACGATTTAACCTCAAGTGTCAGAACTACTACGATGGAAAAAATCTAAAATAACAATCTCGTCTGTTTGAGAGTGAGAATTTACTTTGATGTTCACAATTGTTAATTCTTTATTTGGTTCATCGTGCATGCACATGGCTGCAGTACACACTACATATGATTTCTTTTTAAGGAACTACATATACTATTTCACATTTCTCCTACAAAAGACCTTAAAGGAGGCTGAATAGTGTTTTACAAACAGTCCAAATTATGATGAAACCCCGTTCGAAGCAATTTGTCAGCTTTCTGCTGAAAAGTAATTAAAGTTGGAGGCTAAAAAACATTTTTCTTACCATGACAGCAATGTAGTGTCTCCAGTGACGGGGCAAGGGGCCGTCCATCTCCAACAAAGCATGCTGGGTCTTTAGGAAGCAGCAGAGGTAGGCTGGGTGCATCGCCATGACCATAGAGATGTGATCCACACGCCCCAGCGAAAGAAAAGACTCAATCAGGACATCCTGGTTTGGCCCTCCTTTTAAAATCTAAAGAGGAAAAAAAACAAAACATAACTGAATCCTGAGTAAACTTAATTAAGGTTTCTTCTTCTTTATGAAAAAGAAAAGAAAAAGAAATCTGAATGAGTCACATTATGAGCTAAGACATTATCAGCCACTAGCTTTGGCAACTCAGCTCGGGTGTTGCATCTGTTGAATGCAACAGGCAGTGTAGTATTGCAGCAGAATAAATAGCATCATTTCAATGAGCAAGTCTGTTAGGTCATTACGTATGTCCGTTTCTAAAACGGAAAATAATTTAAAAATAAACTTACATAAAAAACCCTGTGGGAAAAAAATGTAGGTCAATGGAGATTCAAATATATTTTTAAGTTTAGAACATTTCAATTATATTTATATGAAAAGCTTAAGTTCAAAGTAACAGCTGTTAGTTCATTATGTTAGCAACCTGAAACAAGCCCTGTAAAAATCACAGGATTAGACATGAAGGCCAGCTGTGTGCCACTCTGACATCAACCTGAGGGGGAAAAAAAAAAAATCTGGCATCTAGACAGGGTGCAAGTCTGACACACAAACAATGGAAATAGCAAAAACATACTTGTAGTAATCCGGAAACTCATTCTTTTTTATTAAGTTGCATACACACCTCTTTTGCAGGGATAAAGGCACTTGGACCTGAGGCCAGAGCCCGAGGTACCTGGACTCCTTGCTCCTGGCAACAAAAGAAGACACAAACAACACGTAATTATCATTCAGTTTGTACTTGATTATTGCTCTGGTTTATCAAAATTTCAGTCAAGATTCCAATCAACCCTAAAGGATTCATCTTGTCTACGGAAATCATCCCTAAAGGATTCATCTTGTCTACGGAAATCAACCTCAAACGCAGCTCATTTCTGTGACTGACACGCGAAAAATACCTTTTCAGACTTTTTCCATGCACAAAAAAGTTTACCATTGTAAATATTCACATTTATCCAAATCGCTGATATGCTTATATGAAATATGTTCAGCTTAACAACGCCTCAGCCTCCTTTAGCTTGCCTAGACCTTCTTTGAACCGTAACAGGCCACCCGTTTCGTAACTAGTACGCTTCAAACTTCCACGTTTAACCAAAACACGCGTTAAAACTCACTGACATCGGAAGCTCGGACGCTAAACGTTGCCCTGTTTGTTATTTTCAGCACAAACACAAATGAAAGGCGTCTAAAGCAGCCTGCCTTTTTAATTTCTAGAAGCTACACTGGGCCGTGTCTGCTGGTGGTGTGTTTTTCAGGCAGCGGGAGGGGGCGTGTCCGGCCCGGTTGTTTGTGCACACCGCTTCAGAGTCTTGCATCACCTACAGTCTGATGAAACCAGCAGCAGTCCGGTAGCAATAAAAATCACCATCAGCTGATGAGAGAGGTGAACCTACCCTTACCTAACCTTATAACGTCATCATGCAAAGCAAAAGCAGTCCTCCTGAGAGTACCTAAAAGTCCTTTAATGGTACAAAAGGTGCCCGAGCGCTATTGGAGTAAGATTTTTTCCCCCCCTATCTGTCAGTTAATGCGGCCTGCAAACCTCACAGAAGAAGGGGAAGTCTGTCGGTGAATTGTGCATGCATTACCTGTGCGGTCCGCAGGAGCTCGACGGCTCTCTCCCGTACTTCCTGCAGCGGACACGACCTGGACAGCCGGAGCAGATGCAGAAGAGTTTGTTTACGCAGTCGCTCCGAGCCGTGCCGCTCCAGGTCTAAACACTGGAGAACCCCTTGGCTTAACTCCTCCAGAGCCGCTCTCCGCTCCCCGTCATCCCTGCTGCACAATCGCGCTAAGCTCTTCGAAGTCGGTCCAGCATCAGATTCAGACTCGGACCGGTGGCCACACGAACGCCGAGCGGCGGGCACTCCTCCCGGCTTGCTGCCTCCATTAGCCTGGCAGGTAGCCGCGGGATTACTGGCCATGTCCCGGAGCACCTTTGTAGAGTTGAGCTGCCTGTCGTTACCGAGCAGCAGTTAGCCTAAAGTATTAATTTAACGCTAACCCTTAACGTTAGCTGAAAACATGTATTCTTCTTCACTGACACAACCTCGAGGTATCTGCCGCCGGTCTTCTTATTTTTACTGCGCAATCGTCTGCTTCGCAAATTATTAACACCGACGAACCACCTTCAGAGAGCGCCACCTTTTTTTTCCCACCCGGCTTCCTGACCGTGAACGCCGACGGCGGTTAGCTCGCTACGCTAGCAGATGCTGCAGACTCTTTCAGCCGCAGCTATGACGATTTCCGGTAATGAAAACAACGCGAGCCGCTGATTTATATTTGGACTGGGCATCGTGGACATAATGCCGAGTTAAACTTAAAACTATCTTGCGTAAGGCACCGGGAATAATGTAGAGTTTTCACACGCTCCTTCCGCTCAGATCTTGGCGAGCTTCCCCCGTGCAACGTCATCGTGACGTATGCGCAACTTTCCTGTGATAAACAGCAGGCGGCTGTTGTCTCTTTAAATGTTACTAACAGTAACAGCGTATCCATAAGTCGCTGTTCTCTCTTTTCTTTACAAAGTGAGCATGTGTTCATTTCAGGCGGGTTTTTTTTAATTTTATTTTATTCCTAATGCCTTTGCTCATACTGATAAACAGGTTTTAGTCAAGATGATACATGAAGGGATATATATAAAATAAAGAAATCACCTGTTTTGAAAGTATTCTTATGACTCTGCTTTATTGTACCCACTCTGTGTTCTACACTGTAATCACTCCAGTCTTTTTTTGGACACATAGTATATCTGTAGAACTATTATATTATACTTTTCTGCAATTTCTGCTGCGATCTTGGCTAGATCTCTCTTGAAAAAGACATTGATCCCAATTAGTCTTTTTACCTGGATAGTATTTTGTGTTTACTAATTATGCAAGCTGTAAACTTACACATTCCCCATCAATTACCAAAGCCTTGAGCAAGGTCATAAAATTACTGATATTACAAAAATGACAAAGCTTAAGTTTAATATTTAATGTGAAACAGACACCAGTCAGGGTTAATATGTATGATGATGATATAATTACTTTTATCATTTAGTCAAAATCACTGAAATTAAATGGTAGATTAGCTGATGTCATTCTGTTACCTTCACAACTGCAGCAATCCTTTAATTATACAAGAACCCAGCACTTTACCGCAAACATCTCGGACTTTGTCTTGGACATTGCCACCTGGGAAGTACCTAAAATGTCTGTGTGCTGAATCAGGTCACTGAGCTAATGTGTGGCAGACATGCTGGCAATATCAACCCAGTCCTTCTGGTCCTCTGGAAACCATATTGTGGAACCTCTGGGTTTTTCCACAATCTTTTATATTAAAGTAACTAAAACTGTATAAATTATTTGTTGTGTCTGTATGTGCACGTGTAATTCTAGAGTGGGATATAATGGTTTCACAATTTTCTGTTTACTTCCTGAATCACCTTTATTTAGGAAAATAAAAAGAAATCAATGATGTGTCCTTAGTATCAGACATATCTTATATTAATTTACCTGTATATATCATATACAATGCAAGATAACTTTTGTGAGGATGATAGGAGAAAAAAATGAAGAAGATGAAGGAATAGGGAAATATGACAGTGACATATAAACAGACAAACAAGTGAAGGTGATGTGCTGCTTCGTTTGACATGACAAGACACACACTCTCTGGGGTTTCAGGAACTTCAACACTGTGGCAGCAACAAAGAAAAACCCTTCAGCGTTCCATCACCGTTTCCCTATGAGGGAAGACTTTTATTAGCAAACACACAGGCTGGCTTTGGAGGATGACCTTCAGGGCACATACACACACAAACAGACACACAAACACACACAGAGAGGCATGTTCATGTGGTAACCAACGTTTGTGTCCCAAGGGTAGAAGAGACAAGAGCAGAAGTGTAGAAAAACAAGAGGTGGTTTGGAGGGGTAGGAAAGAGCCAAGGCCTGGATTATCACACACACACACATTGATATGGAGAGGGGTGTGTCTTCAATATTTTACAGGAAGTAAATTTTGTGTGTGTGTGTGTGTTTGTATTTGTACATGGGTGCATGTGAGTAATGGGATACGAGTCCTTAGACGATTTTGTTCTCCAGCAAGGCGATCCTCTTCGACATGCTCTCTAGTAAGATTCTGTCAAGGAGAGAAACTGTGAAGGCAGTCAATAAATCAGACAGTGCGAAAACAACTTTAACACCCTCCCTCCCAAACTAATATCCTCAGACAGTGTCACCTGTCATAAAGGATATGTTTTTTTGTTAGTGCCTGTAGGGCAGCTTCAACTTTCTTTTGGAACTTTACAAGGGAGTCGCATTCACAAGGGTCACCTGTGGAGCCAAGAACACACGGGTTAAGAATTGTCTGATTTGTGAAGTATAACAACACATTTGTTTAAAACTTCTCACCATTACAGACGTTAATCTGTAGCTTCTTGGCAATCTGGCTCATGGCCTTGAAATCGGCGGTGTAGAAGTAGTGCTCTCCGGTTGGCTCAGAGGCAATCTCTTTCAGCTCGTCCTCAACTGCATTGCCCACTCCGACAGCATACATCTTAAAGCCTGCAATGAACGCGCTCGTTCCTTCATCTGATTCACATAAGTATATATTTTTATTCTGCTTTAGACGTAACCTTCCCACTCCCTCTAACCGTTTTCCTTGGCCTTCTTGGCAGCCTCTCCGATGTAGTCCTGACTGCGCCCATCGGTGAAGACGATGCCCACCTTTGTGACTCCAGGCCGGGCACCCTGACCAAGGCTGAAGCTGTTTTCTACCAGATAACGGAGAGCCTGGCCTGTCATGGTTCCCCTCTCCAGGTAGGCCATCTTTTTCACAGCTTCTTTGAGGTCCTTCTTGTTGTTGTAGCGGCCCAAGGGAAACTCCTGCGGTGGAGCAGAATTAGGATGATGATGAGGGTGGAAGTGAAAATGCTTACTCTAATGTAAAAAAAGAAAAAACTGACTCATACCGGTTTGACTGTGCTGGAGTACTGCACCAGTCCGACATGAGCCTTGCTTTCACTGACGTCCAGTTTGTCGATGATCTGGTTTATCCATTTCTTGACCAGCTCAAAGTTCTCAGGACGCACGCTCTTAGAGCCATCGATCAGAAACACAACGTCTGTTGCGGAGTTGCTGCAAGCTGGTGAAAAACAAAACATACACACACGGACACACACGGGGCATGTTAATGTCAGAGCATATTTATCATACTTGGACACATACCTTCTGAGACAAACACCCACTCACCACTGCAGCTACGACCATTGTCCATGAGGGTAAAACCTTCTCTGCAGGCACACTTGTATGATCCTGGTGTGCTGATGCATACCTGCTCACAGTCATGATCCCCAGTGGCACACAGGTCAGACACTAGGTCTTCTTACATGCACAACACACACACACACACATAAGAGGGGGCAGGCAGGTAGGGTTAGAGGGAGAAATAAAACTATGTCAGTTTGAAAATGGGAAATTCTAGCATTGATTTTTTTAATGATCCACTGTGACCTGCAGTTGACCTGAACAGGTTTGAATATATGTAGATGATGCAAAAATCCAGTGGAGCCTTAAAGCAAACGGAGGAAAAGATCGGAGCAGCCTTAAGCTAATAAAATCCAGTTTTCTGGAGGATTTTTCAACGTGATGCACAGGCTCCTCCTCAACACTATGATAATGCTGCTCTCATCATCTGCACGTGCAGCGATGCTGGCTGCCGCAAAGCGAGAAGCAAACAGCAGTCGAAGCTGCCGCAGACTGGGAGCGCCGAAGGGCATCACTAATTAGAGGCTTAATGATTGGCACTAATGGATCGGTAATTACAGATAGATCAGTCTCGCCTCTCGGTTATGTGAGAGTTGACTGAAGAACAGGACTAAATCTCATTCCAAAAGGTTGTTTCTACCCTAATGCCCTCGTGCTGTGGGGAATTTTAAATGAGTTTGAAGGACTGAATGAATACATTGTAATCTTGTCGAGGACGAGCAGAGGACAAAAGGGAGAGAAGAATAAATTGGAATGAAAAGGATGACAGTCCAGACACCTTACCCTCAGTACAGGGGAGCAGCAGACAGCTCTCTCCACAGGAATGAAGGTGTGCATATAATGAATTCCTCTTTCGTGCTGCTGTATCTATACCTCCTACAGTACATCTCTAATCCTTCTCTCATCTCTTCCTTCTCCCCCTCTTACCACAAAAGGCCTCCTGGAACTTCTTGGTGAGCTTCTCGATAACGCTGTAGCTCTCCACATAGTCCACATGGTCATCCAGAGGATCGCTGGCCATCTGCCTCAGAGTGTTCATGTCCACGCGTCCCACACCGATGGCAAAAATCTCAATGCCGGCGTCTCGTGCACGTTGAGCTATATCCTTTACATTGTCCTGGGGACGCCCGTCTGTCACAATAATGGCAACCTGTGACAGTGAGGGTTCAAAATAGATTATAAAGTTACCATTGCGGTTATGAAAGAGGTGAATTTCACCTGCAAACGCATCTAAACATGTGGCAGACCTTGCCGACGTCAGAAGATTTTGCACGAGCGCCCTCGGCCTCACTGAAGGCAACATTCATTGCAAACTGGATGGCCAGGCCAGTCATGGTTCCGGTGGACAGCGGCTCAATTTTGGTCACAGCCTTGATCAGCCCGGCTTTGGTGCGGTGGGTCTTCAGAGACACCTACAGTTCCACAACAGCGCAGTGAGTGAGATCGAAATGAGAGAAAACAAATCAGAAACGTCGGAAATCGTTTTTTAAACTTTATCCAAACCTCATTCTTAACGCGGCTGGCATAGTTGACAACTCCCACACGAGTGGCGCTGGGTCCAACATTCAGCCCCTCGATGACTTTTGCCAGGAAGACTTTAACTTGCTCAAACTCTGAGGGGCGAACACTGCGACTGCTGTCGATGATGAACACGAGGTCGGTGGGACGGGCTTTGCACAAACCTGCCGCTACACGTGAAGAGAAAAGCAACTCAGATGTCACCGTAATCTCATATTCATTTTATAAAGTTATAAATTATTCCTCATTCCATCATTCCTCATGATGATGGATGGAGATCATGAAAGTCAGGGGAGATGTGGGTGGAGCATGGAGTGAAGGGCTGTTGAGAGGAAAAGGGGAGGGCAGAGGTGATGGAGAGTGGTGAGATGTATATGAGAGGAAGGGCTGGAAACAGGACGCACAGAGGCAGCAAGGGTGGAGAGAGGGAAAGGTGAAAGTACTGCGATGGAGAGAGGACACAAAAAGAGCCACTGACCCACTTTAAGTGTTTTCAGAAAGCTTGTTGAGTATCTCTTGCATGAATATATCAATAATTAATCCATAATTAGATTCCACCAAGAAAAGGCGTGAGAAGTGGTTACATTTTCACAAAAAAAACATGGACTCTGACAGATTTTTTTAGAAAAGGTGTGATGAAATTAAGCTTTGCTACAGCGATACGGCTGGTGACCCGTAGCATTTTCAGTGTAAACGCGGGCATTTTGGCATCATTAAGCAAACTGCAGCCAGCGTCTACTGCATATCACTGATCTCCCTCCTCGCCCTTCACCTCTCTCCCTCCCTCCTCCCCCTTCTCCTTCTGTACACCTCCTCTCAATCTTTGACATGCAAGAAACAGCAACGGCCACACTCCATCCTGAACAAAACAATTATCCAAAATGTGCTTATACAAATTAACGACTTGAAAGAACATCATAACCCCTTTTTTCACGTGGCAGAGCACGTCATCTACTAATCAGGAGGTAGAGCAGGTCATCTTCTAATTATGAGGTTGGTCTTTTGATCCTAGGCTGCTCCAGTCTGCATGCCAAATGTCCTTGGGCACAATACCAACCCCAAGTTGCTCTCCGATGTATCCATCAGAGTGTGAATGTGTGTGAATGTTGAATAGGAAGCATGTAAAAAAGTGCTTGTATGAATGGGTGAATGAGGAGAGTTGAGCTGCATAAAGTGCTATAAGAACCAGTCCATTTACCTTTTCTCCCAGTCCCTTACTTATCATTCTTAAATAGCTATGATATATACAGAAAGTTAGTGTCCACATCTAACCATCATACATTTTTCCCCCAAAAAATGTATGATGATACAGCATCTCATCCAGCCTATTCACACACAACACACAAAAAGATTCTAACCACTCAAAAAAAATTTTTATGTCCTTCACCTAAAAGGCAAACTGATGATCAGAGCAATATTTCTCACCTGTTGAGACCAGACTAATGCTCGCTTTTTAAAAGCTGTGTGAGGTTTTTCTGCTCTATGAGTTCACTTTTATGATGATAAAAGGCAAACGGGTGTTAGAAGCAAAGCATCACACAATCAACAGGAGTTAAGACATAGGCTTTAGGGGTTAAAGGTCATTATTCTTACCCATGGCGGCGGCTGTGCGAAGGTCTAAGTTAGCTTGGGCTCCTATTAGGCCAAGCAACAGCAGGAACAACGGCTGGATGGGCGTCATGGTGACAAAGGCGGGGGGTCCGAGCGCGGCCGCAGACGGTCCTAGAGTTGGGAAGCAGAAAAGAAAGCGAAGCGCAGCTCCAAGCGATGGGCACGGCCACAAAGTGAGACCAAGCGACTCTGAGCTGCAGGTTATCAATGCACGAGCTTCACACACTCAGCCCACAGACAACCCCCCTCTAAAGCTGCAGTGTGTGCACGGATGAGTGTGCGTCTGTGGGAAAGAGAAGGAAATACCTGCTCTGGGAGGACCTAAAACGGTGGGCAGGGAAAGACAAACACACCTTGATATGGTTAGGATGGACAGGTAAGTGTGTATGTGAAGGTGGTAAATTTTTGTTGTGTGTGCGCATGTGTGTCCCCCAGTGGGTTACAGTATGTGCGTGTCTGGCTGGGGGTACAGGAGCGGCTGGGGTTTGGTGCAGGGCTCGCGCCAGTGCTGCTGCCCCAGGTTGGATTTGGCCAAAGCTCAAATAAACACCGACATGAATTCCTCTTTTCTATCCGTGTTCCCTCGTATAGCAAACACACATTTATGGTGCGGAAGTGAAGCAGAGCCGCCATACACAGCCTACAGTGTTCCTGCTGCTCTACACGTTGAGCTGCGTGTGTGTGCGCATTCTTCTGTAAATTTTAAATTGTAGGTATACAATCCATTTCCTGGTTTCTGAGTTTCAGTATTCAGTGTCATTCTCAATCTCCTTGCTTCACATTTGTAAACCCTTCTGAAACATTTTTACCTCAAAATCAGTTTTATAATAAGACAGATCAAACACACACACACACACACACACACACACACACACACACACACACACACACACACACACACACACACACACACACACACACACACACACAATGAGAGTAAAGGTAAATCAGATTTCCTTTTTTCAGCATCTTCTCCTGAACTTCTCTGGTATATACTCTCCACTGTATGACAGGCAGCAGGGCCCCATTGGAGTAAACACAGCAGCAAAACACACTTTCATCAATAAGTTCATGTACACATCTTTAATCTTGCTATAGAGTCCACACAAACACACTCAACAGAGACCCCTCTTTTCCCCACACACAAGCAGACATTCCTCTGAACCCCCACCCACCCCCTTCCTCCTCCACACAAACTCACTGAACAAGCCGCAATTGAGGAGGGAGTCTGTGAGGGGAAGAGGAGTCGGGGCTCTGGCTGTACAGTAACCAGTTAGTCAGATTTCCAAGTGAAAATGCTGCAAAACCAACTGAACAGGGTGTGTGTGTGTGTGTGTGTGTGTGTGTGTGTGTGTGTGTGTGTGTGTGTAATAGTGGTGAAATGTTAGAGATTAAAAAGAGAAGAGATGTTATTCCTGGACAGTGTGTCATCTCTGGAAATGGTCAGTTTGGCTCATAAGAGAAGATACATCACACATGCACAGCATTATGTAGTAACACACACACACACACACAGACAGACACAGGTTATGTAACACTGTCTACCGGCAGGCTGGGCAAACATAAGCAGGTAACTGAAAGAACCGGACCTGCATTTGAGAACTACTCTGCTCAAAAACATTACAGGAATATTCGTTCATCGCAGTAAAACACAAAGTCAGCGAAACTTCAGGGATATCAGTCTGTTCATTTAAGGAAGTGAAAACCACTGTGAATCTATTTCACTTGTTTTGGTGCAAATTAAAGTGCTAACAGGGGTAAGAATAAGACAGATAGAGGAGAAGGATATAAACCCAGCAGTAGCACCAGTGTCTGCTCCTTTGAGCAATAAACTGGAGGAGCACTGAAAGAAACAGAGTCCATGAAGGTGTCACAAGGGCACAACGATTATGTTGCTCGCATCCCAGCACTGTGCAATTGAACTGGCAGGTCCACCACTGGCACCCTGTTCTCTTCACAGGTTTACACTGAGCACCTGTGACAGGTGTGAACAAATCTGCAACATCATGACCAGTTTGGGAGTGGCTCAGTGATCATCTGAGGAGACATATCCCACAGACGTTCTACAGAGAGGCCAGTTAAAGTTAACCTGATTAGGTTAGCTTAGGTTTGGTCAGAGACATGCACGGGTACCCTGCTGGAGGTCATTTTGTAGGGCTCAGGCAGTGCTCCTCCTCCTGTTCCTCCACAAACAAAGGAGCAGATAGTAGTCCTGCTGCTGGGTTGATGTCCTTCAACAGCCCTGTTCAGTTCTCCTTGGGTAACCCTTATCATCCTGTGTTGACGCACGGCTTTAGTCACACAGATATCGAGCAGAACAGCTCAAATACGGAAAAATGATTCAAAAGACTGCAGAGCAGATCTTACTTAATGACAGTAGAGAAGGACTGTGAATACCAGTTAACTAGATTACCTTTTCCCTAATCTTTGGCTAATCATTAGTTTAGAAAAATTTTAAATGCCACCTTTAAAAAGGTGGTTTTGCTTGACTGAGAAAAAAGTCGTTCAACAACAATTTAGGATAAATATTTTAATCCAATTTTATATCCAGGGCAAATTTGTTGTGGTCCCCTGTGCTTTTAGGTGTTGGCCTGATTTCTGTCTGTTCTCCGCCCTTTGGTCTAGCTTCTCTTTATCGTGTGGGTGTGTGATTGTTTCACTAACTGTGCTTCCTCCTCCTGGCTCTTCTCTGCACTTGTTATCAGATTGTTAGCATACTGTGGTAGAAGTAATATAGTGTGGTAGAGGTGCTTAGGTGTTTTAATGCTTCCTTGTTACCAATCCTTGAATCTATACTCACCTGCCTTCTCCTTCTTTATCCTAGAAAACTTACCTGCCTGTGTCATTCGCTGCCCGCCTACTGGAGGAAAACACCCCAGCAAAAGATTGAGACTGAACTGAGTTATCAGTTGTTTTTTTAATCACACACCTTTTTTGGTTTAGAGCTGAGCACTCTACCTGTGGGTCCTTCTTATTAAGCAACAACACAGTTAATCTGGTTTATCAAGTGAATCAGAGTGTTTGAGGTCAGGAGTCTTAATTGAGTGTACAAATAAATAGGTGTGAATCAGGGAGTGAACGGTGGCATAAAAAAAATATATTTTTAACACATCCGGTGTGTAAAGGCCTTTAGATCTTATTGAATTAGAGAGAATGGAGGGGTTTGAAGCATGTGTAGTAGTTGCTATGCATTTAAACACTGTACTTTCCACTTTAGTACATTTACAGAAGATCCAGTCAGCAGTGAGCATCTATGCCAGATACCTGCAATTAGGCCATTAACCATCATTAGAACTGGAAATTATGGTACAGCTCCACCAGCACATGTAATTTCAGTGGCTGCTGAATTGTTCAGTGTTATTTCATGACCTGTGTACAAAACACAAGGACTGCCTGATTATTTAGTAGGTTTATCATCTAAAACGCAGAGGCTGGGGAAAATCTGTCACCATCATACTGTGAAACACTGAAACCTGAAGTTACACTGGTCATAATGGATTGACAAACCAGCTTGTTGCCCTGTTACAGTCAGTATTGCCAGGACTCAATACTACACCTATACCTCAGCCTTAGCTCTCGACCGACCCTAAAGTCATTAATTATGGTAACATGGGAGACACAAGCAAACCAATACTGGGAAAATGTGTGTGTGTGTGTCACATGTGACCTTAAGCTTCATTTGGGTGAAGACCCATTGGCCAATCATTGTTGGTAAGTTTGATTCTGACCAATAGTGCAGGAAAAACTGCAGAAAGACAGATGGATGTCTGATGCCTCACCATGGCATGAGCTCATCAGTCCTTCAGCCGAATGAGCCCTGGAGTCCTGGAGTTATTGCCTGGTATTTATGGTAAACAGCCTGGTTTTGTTGGCATTACAGAGGCGTTCGGGTTCAGTGTCTTGCACAAGGACATTTTGGGATGTGGACAGGAAAAGCCGGGATCAACCACTCACCTTCCGATTAGTAGAAGTTCCCCTTTACCACCCAAGTCAAAGCTGCTCTATGAGATTATGAAACCTTTGGAAAAATAGTCTTTTTAAGCACTAATCCATTAAAAAAAAAATAAAAAAAATAATGATCATTCATTGGACACCCACAATCAGCTCAAACTACACAGTTATATAAGGTTTTCCTTTTTCCAACCCATCCGTTTACCTTCTTGTAGCAAAATAGAAATCTAATATTAAGACACGATGTATTTGCTTTTTTTCCCCAAAAAGGGAAACGTTCCTGTAAGTTTATTTTTTTCTCTGCCAACCATTTCAAGGTGCTCGGTTTAGAAAACTATCATCACAATAGTACTGCCAGACCCGGGGAGTGCATGGAAAGAAGTGTAAAACAAACACATTCCTCCATCTCAGCCTCAGTGCGTGCCATTAAGTATTTTCATAAGGCAGCATACAAATAATGCCACTTTTAGTGGAAATATTTACTATCAACAAGGTTAGCTGAGATATTTTATCGCTGTCAAATCTGGACCTTCCACTGTTTGTCCTCGTTTTTAAAGCCACGCTTGAACACACAAATCTATTTATTTTATCCAATAGGGTGTTATTTTCCTGAGCAACTCGCCCTCGTGTCCCATCTTCTTCCAATCCCAACAAAGTCTGTTTGTCATATCTTCTAAAAACAAACGAAAAAATCAACAGTTTAATGCTATTTGAACCAGGCGACTGGAGGAACTCCAAACTGTGTCTCGGTTTTGTTCTACAACCAACATCATTACTTTCAATCTGTTATATCAATAAACTTTATCCACCAATATCAATAAACTCCATTACTTGATCTGACCGAGCAGTGTGGGGTTTTCTTTTACTTTTTAACCGTCAGTCGGTGCGTGTGCACGCATACTGTCACGGCTTTTGGAAAGAGTGGGAGGATTTAATGTTTGACCACATCCATAAATATTGAAACAAGTTGCCTTTCTTCAAATCTCAGAATACTGAGTAAATATTGACACGGTGGGATCGGGCTGGAGAGAAGCATCCCAAACCTGTGCTCACACACGTATGCACATATCTGCACACGCACACACACAGTCGTTTCCCTCCAGCTGTGCTCTGAACGCTCTCTGTTCACACGAGGGAAGTCCTGGAAAAAATAACTACAGAGTAACCCGACATGAAGCGCTCCTCAGTCACATGTGTAAGCTCAGTGATACATGAAGGACTCTGAAATTATGTAAATAGCACGAGTACTACACAAAAAAGAGTCAATCAGTATCAGACTTCAGCCCGAGTAAAAACATTTCTTCCTTGAGTTTGAAGAGAGCCCTCACTTCTTCACAAAATAAAGTTCTGTGCGTGCCTTCTTATGCAAGAAATTTTTGCACTGCAAATGAAGTTTTTGTGTATGTGCGCGAGTGTGTGTGTGTTTATGCTGCTTGTCTCCTGCCAACAGTAACAGCTCAGTAGCCAGTGAGCAGGAAGAGAGAGGTTCATTAAAAACCAAATACAGAGCTTACATAACCAACAGTTCTGTTCATCCCAGAACCCCCTCCCCGTGCTACAAACACACTTCTCCTTCATCCCCATCTTCTTTCCCTCCCACGCCTACTGGCAGAGTCCACCCATCATCCTCTTCTCCTCCCATAGCAACAGCTCATCTCAGCTCTCCTCCCTTGTTCCTAGACCAGCAGATTGCCTCAGTCCCTCCAGCTCCCCCGTCCTTTATCTGCTCCCTCAGTCCCTGCCACCTCCTCTTTGCTCTCATCATATCTCCTTCTCTTACTCCCACACCATTCCAAGCTGTACTTCAAACTTTACAAACAGCGGGAGTACGAACCAGGAATATTAACTAGAGTTAAAACAGGAAACCTTTGATTTTACAGAGAACAAGGAAATGTCACATTGCTCCCAAACGTCTTTTTTAGTCTCAGGAAAAAGCCTTCAGCTCTTTCAGAGGTGTGATTTCATATAGAGATTTGGTTTCCACAAGCCTCTGTTACTCACTTGCATACTAAAGATAAAGGGTGTGCAAGTGCAGTAAGTGTGAGAACACAGCAGATGGCAACACAGATTAAGGCTTTGGGCTGTATTAGTAATTGTCTGGAGTAACTCTGCTCTAAAATCCACTGTCGTGATCTTCCTCCATCAGATTACAGACTATCAGTCAAACCCATTCTCCTCCCCAGCAGAGGAACATTTGAAAAACTGCATCTTTAATGCTACAGATACTGGCACGTGGTTGTCTCACACTAAAAACCACCAACATAGGATTAACTCAAGCATGAATCAAACCGGACAAAAACCCCTCATTTAAATTAGAGGATCCCAAAACGAGGGATGTGAACTACCTGGATCACACGAACATAATCTGCTTTCACCAACAGTCCTCTTCTGATATGAAACTTTAGATCAAAATCTCACAGTTTTGACACAGTGGAGAAAATCCAGCGTGCAAAGCAGGATTGATCTAAAATTAGCAGCATCACTGGGAACAGTTTAGAAGTGCACGGGGAGAAAACCTTGAAGGGGAGATCCACCAGTCTAAGAAAAGAAAAGAAAAGGAAAAAAAAAAAAAAAAAGCCATGACCTTCATCTTGATGGCCAGAGTTGTGGACCATTATGATCACACCTCATATTATCAGTTTATAAATCAGCTTCTACTTATGGGTGACCACAGCAGGACTGACAAATGTTAACAAATTCTTTATCCAGTTTAACCGAATCACAGAGACATTGGAACCAGAAACATTTTAAAGCCCTAATATTCAAAAACAAAAAAGCAACAGGACTACATATTACACATATATTTCTAACTTATTTATAACTCTAAGGATATTATAGTATATTTGTGTCTTTATTGAACAGTGGGGGTGGGGTGGGGGGGGGGGGTCCTCTGAAATGTAGCAGGTTACATTTGTGCAACATTTCTATCACCATATTTTAGCAGAACATGTGACTGAAGCCAGACTTGAATGTCCCTGATTAATTCTTTAGCCAATTTAAAAAAATACAGACTCAGTGATGTTATTTTTCAGTGTAGTGTTTCTTCACATCTCATTCTGATTTCTAAACTGGTACCAAGATATCTTTTCTGAGGTACCTGAAATAAGCTACAATTTGAGCAAAAACAAACTGTCCTAAAAAGGGACATCGAAAGACAAAAACAAAATACGCTTCAGTTGTTGTTTTAGATTATAAAACCAAGTTAAATGCAGAAATAAATGATTAACAGCGCAATGAGCATTTATTGCAGCCAGCAAACTAAAGCCTGGTGGCTTTCACATTTCAGCTGAGAACATCCTAATAGTAACAAAAACAGGAAATTTAGAAATCCACATATATTATATTTACATAGACAGTTGAAACACATGCACACACGCTCACACACACTTAAAGTCAAAAATGTATGGGAGAAAAGTCGCAGTGGAAGTGGCTGTGGATCTCTCTAGGACTGTCATACTCAATTTTGACACAAGAGGGCACTGCAGGGCTTTCTGGAGAGGCCGCGTTGACCTGCGAGGGCATTAGCAATGACTCCCTGGCTGGAGTATCCTCCACCCTGAGGCAAGAGTGCCGCAGCGTTGACACAGGTGGCAGGACGGTGGCGGTGCTGGTGGTGCTGCTTGTGAAAGTCTGGTTGAGTGAAGGATTCTGGGAATTTGCATGCAACAACTCCTGGTCCTCCCCAGGAAAGAACGAAGGAAGAGGGAGGGTGGTGGAAGAGGTAGGCTGGTGCTCTCGACCGGGTCCCAAGCTGCCAGGGTAAGCAGGAGGGCACTGAGTACGCTGGTGCATGGCTGGCTGACTGCACATGTTGCCCCATGGGTAAGACTGGTACGCTGTAATCCCAGCTGGATGGAAAACACACGCAGATCCAAACAGACTGAAAATTCAGCTTCAGTGGCAGTAATTGAAACCTCAAACATTTCACCTGTCATAAGACTAAGAATGCCAAGAGTATCTGCATACCATTTAATTCTAATGTTTTTCCTGTGCCCTCAACATGACTCCCTTTTGTCTTATTAATCAATGCTGACCTATACATTTCCTTATTAAATCACCATGCAATTTAAACATCCAACTACAAAGCTTCTGATCTTTCTAATTTGCACCACTGACTGAATGGTGACTAAAGCTGATGATATGACAGTGATGAGAGCAATGTATAATACAAGATTAAAAATAATTATTGAAAAACTGAATGATTGTGCAAACATCTGTTTACATAGAAAGCACCAAGTCAAACTTTCTTTTGACTTCTGGGTTAGTTTACACTAATGTAGGGTGTATAGTTTTTACTTTCCATTTGATCCTATAGGATCTTTTGTCAGAGTAAAATTTCATATTTTTTCCAATACATCAATTAATGCAATCTCATTTTACCCCAGTGACTCACCGTGGTGACCAGATGACTGCAGTAGGATTTGACCTGCACTCTGGGACTGAAAGTAGGCATGACCTGTGGTGGAATAGGTCACCACTCCTGTCGAGTTTCCTCCAGGGCCAAAAGTCAGGTAGGAAGTAGGATTAGACTCTGGAGGGTTAGGGGTGAGGTAGGGGGATGGTGTGAAGTAGGTCATGCGGGGCAGAGATGCTTGAGGTTGGAGCTGAGGCTGGCTGGTGGGGTAGGAGGTCTGGAGCTGGTAAGACAGAGTGTTGCTCTGCTGGCTAGACGTCAGGTAGTCCAAGTCAAAGAGCAAACTGAGGACAACACAAACAAGAATTTAGTGACAAACATGAACATCTTTGATTATTGCTCCATCTGCAGGTTGTGGTTGCACTTATGATTACTTCTAGTGATATCGAGGCAGACAGACACAATCAGAGTTTTATTCTCAGGTCTCACGTTATTTATGAGGTTTCTGCCACCATCTCTATGCAGTACATCTGCGTTACTGAACATGCAGATACTGCCAACCGTATCTACAAAGTAGAAGTTTTAGTGCTGTCACACATCTATAGTCATACAACCATAATTGTATAAGAACAAAGTGACTAAGTGCAATCTCTCACAGCATATTTTAGCTAAAACTGACTCCCTGCTACTACAGACGCTGTGTGAGCCATCACTACATCAGTATTTCACAGATTCCCTCTCTGCCTACTCTCTGTCCTGCTGTCAGCTCTTATACTCATCCATATTTGAAGCATCCTCTAGTATTCATGTCACAGTTTGCTGTGAGTGGAGCTGACCTGGTGTCAGTCGGCAGAGACTGGGTCTCACGGTGGGCCAAGGTAGAGCCACCCTCCAGAGCATCCAGGAAGAGGGGTGGGGTGTGGGCTGGTGTGTTGAGGAGAGGGGGAGTGGGGTTTGCAGAGTTAAAGGTTGAGGTGAAAAGAGGAAGGCTGGCTCGCCGCAGAGGGGGAGGGCTCTGCATGGGACGGGGGGGATACTCCACCAAACCCTCCTGAGATGAAAGCTGTTGCTGGCCTGTATCCCTCACTCTGCTTTCACCTAACAGATAAAAACCAAGCAATTACAAAGTAAGATTAGGCAGAGATACTGTAGTTTGGTTTCTGTGTAATTTTACTATCTCAACCTGCAGTGTGAAGGTTTGCTGAGCTGAACAAAGATGTCATTCTTCTATAAACACTTTCTCATATGTAGGAAAATCCGTTAATTAAAAACCTATGTTTGTAATGCCATAAAAGCCACAAATTTTATCGAGGTCAAATTTGCTGCTACTTTACATAACCGACCCTACAACTGAAAGAGTTTTGGTGGACAAGCTTTGTCCGCCTCTCTTCCAGTAAAAATAACTAATGTTAACAGAGGATCCTAAGCAAATGTAACGAAATTTTTCAGCCATGATGGAGGTGGGGTGACTGCATCACTGCTTGATCATCCAGACATCAAAGAATTTAAGCTGGTCCGGTTTGAGATCATTTCTTTAGGGATTAATAAAGTATTCTGATTGTAATCATTCATCAGCACCTCACAAAGGAATGATAATGCAGGTTGAAGGGAAACTTAATCCCAAATCCAAGTTTACATATTTTCCTCTGACCTTTAGACTTATGTATCCATCTAGATTGTTTTGTTGTGAGGTTTCCCTTTTCATCAATGGAACGAGAGGGTCTTCACATTACAAAAAAACTTAACAGCTTTGTCTGTTTAATCAAACAAAACTAAAGTAAAAATTCAAAAACCTTGTTATGAGCAGTTTTATGTAGGACCTATTTTTTTTTTCCAATGCTACTTTCAGCTGTTCACTTATAGACAAGGGCTCGCCACTGTGGGAAGGTCTGCATGTTTGATTTCTTTTTAATGATTATGTATATTTATTTTTGCACTGGATGTCGCTTATTAGGCAAATGTGTAATGTGCAAAACAAAAGGGCACAGAGCTTGCTAACATCATAGCTCAGCTGAAGGGTGATGCGATCTTTAACACCTTTGTATGCAATTTTAAATTTGGGTTGAGTCGTTTATTTTAACAAGATAAAGAGAATTCCTCACAGACAGACTGAATGCTCATCAAGCTAATGCATGAAAAGCAGAGTGTCGTAAAATGTGCATGTGTGGATTTTCACACCTGGGCTGCTGAGGCTGGACAACAGGCTGCTGTGGGAGGGTGGGCTCTGAGTGGTTATGGTGGGGAATGAAGGTGGCACAGGGGCAAGCTGGGGTAGCTTGGGAGGAGCATAATAACGAGACAAAGAAGCGGCTCCCTTACTAAAACAAAGACAAAGAACAAAAATGCACTTAAGCATGAATCAAATCAAAGTACAGAGATAAAAATCTAGAGAGGTGTGTGTGTGAGTGGGGGGGGGGGGGGGGGGGGGGGGGGTCAACTGGACTTCTTTAGGTTTGTGAAGATATCTTGATGAATGCTCAATCATCCAGGTAAGTAGATCTCCAAAAGTTGATTCTGTTCATCTGGACGTAGTGTTTTGTGAAGATAATTCACCTCTTATCCAAGAGGCTTCTTCAGTTCTACAAACAAAAGACTGAGAGTCCCAGGTATTTAACGCCTAGTGGGGGCTTTGGAAGTGGTCCTGAGGGTCATTGACCCATTATTGACCCAGAGCCTCTTCACATGAGCCAAGGTGTGTGAGAAGAAGAAGAAGAAAAAAAAAAAAGAAGGACTGTATTACTATCACCGGGGGTTAAGGGTCAAGTCACTGTGAGGGCTTGCCCAGCCTCATCATGTGACCTTAATAGCTCAGTTGAGGCTCAGCTGAGTAAAGACACAGCAATAACACTTTCAGTACCTACTGGGCTCCGGTTCGAAGTGATCTAGCCTATCGAAAAATGTGATTTCAACAGACGTAACTCAGTCATGAGAGCGACTTAATCACAAAAAACAAAACTACCATTTCTGAAAGCCGACAACGGGGGAAATCCCCCCCCCCAAAAAAACCCCCACACACAGAGCAGCAGGTACACCATCGTCTCGAGGTTTTCCATTGTTGTGTCGCATACAAATGACGTCACATCAACGATGGTCGTTCACAGTGGATGTGGATTCAATTCTGGTTTATTTATATAGTGCCAAATCACAGCAGTTGCCTCGAGGCACTTTGCATTGTAAGGTAAAGACCCTACAATAATGCAGAGAAAGCAATCAGACAACACCCTAGGAGTGAGAAACAGCAAGAAGAGAAAAAACAAACAAACTCCCTTTTAACCGAAGAAACCTTTGCAAGAACAAATGACCTCCTTTACTTCTCGCTCAAACCATCTTGTCTTCTTAGTCCAAAATGTGAGCACTGGCATCCTCAAAAGAGTGACCTTTATTCTTTAAGTGTACAGCCTTCAAACCTAAAGAAGTCATCTACCTTATTTTCTTCAGTCTCTCTAGACTACCATGACCTGGATGACAGCAAACCTACACAGACACACAGAAATAAAAGAAACAGAAATACCTGCTGTGAGCCAGTGTGGGCATGGGATTGATTTGGTGATGTGGACTGTATTCGGCTCTACTCTGTCCGTGTTCCACCTTTGCTGTAACAGCACGTACTTTCCTCCACTTTGCCCTCCGGTTCTGAAACCAGACCTGGGACCCAGAAACATTCAGGGGGGAAAAAATAAGACTGAGGAGGCCAACAAAAAAGGTAGAAACTGCTTTACAGAGGATGAGATGGGATTTTCAGGAACACAAAGAATAAAATGCCAGTAGCACATCTTCATAAGGAAAACATCACAAGTCTTCAGTAAAATTCCACAGAAGATGAACAGAGTAATAATAATAATAATAATAATAATAATAATAATAATGGATACTTTATTGATCCCCATGGGGAAATTACTTGTTTTTCTCTGCATTTGACCCATTCACTCAGTGAAGCAGTGGGCAGCCCACTAAGCAGGCGCCCGGGGAGCAGTGTGTAGGGACGGTACCTTGCTCAGGGGTACCTCAGGGTAGCCATTAAGTGGATTCGAACCGCCGACCTTCCGATCATGGGGCGACCACTTTACCTACTGAGCTATCCCTGCCCTAAGAGTCTAACCATAGACCACAGAGTAAGAGTCTAACCATAATTCTCTGAGGTGTGACGCCGACTGAAGTAGCAATCACTTTCCTTTTTTCTGCGTCCGGATAGTGATCCTCTTGGAAAAGGGCCTCTAGATGCTCTAACTGATCTGTACGCAAGAGTACGTTAGTGTACACACACACAAATTACAGGACAATAATTTGCATAGCAGTCAAATGTGAGCACACAGAGACGTTTCCCCTCACCTGTGCTGTAGAGCGTCCGTGTCTTCTTCTTCGGTGCAGGTGGCAGCAGGCAGCTGTCCACAGACTCTATCCCTGGCAGCAGTGGGAAGCTGAGGGCTCGACCTCGGCCCCTGGTGCTGTAGCGGATGGAGCGTCGGGTGGAGTATACCTGCGTTATCTCCATCTGCCATGAAGAAACACTACCTCAGCACAGATGTTTTCAGTCAAATTCAGTAAAATGTCCCAATGTTTTTTTTTCCCTTTAAAAAAAGGATTTTAAATAGTCAGGTATCAATTATCACATTTTTAAAAGCTAAATATAATTTTGGAGAGTCGTTTAGGGGGGAAAAAAGGAAAAACCTTTGAGTGCAGTGCAGAGTTGAATGTTTCAGCCCAAACAAAGCAATGCAGCAATCATTTCCCAAAAATAAAAGTTCATTTAGGACTTCCAGGACCAAGTAATTAATTTCCATTGTTCTTTCCCATATGTGATATTAACACGTCTGTTCCAGGGCTGCAGCCAGCAGGTAATGATTTTTCTCATTTTCTGTTAATTGCTTGGTCCATTAAATCTAGTGAATATAAAAATGCCCACCGCAGTTATCCAGGACCTGATGTAATGTCTTCAAACTGCTTACTTTTTCTGATGACAGACAATAACCAAACATATCAAAACTGCCCAGAGACAAGAACAAGTAAAGTAGTCTTAAAGATTGATCAGTTATGAAAATAAACAGTTCTTCTCCTGCCAAACTGGTAACTGACTGTTCCAGCTCTACCAAACTCACATATCAGTTGTCAGTCTCTGTAAAAATTTGTCTTCAGGTTAGCGTAGTTCAAAAACAATCATTTCTGATTTGATCTGGTCTGAAACGTCTTGCTGTTGTAGAACCAGTGACATTATCTGAGATCTACGTCTGAGTGGTAAACATTAAAAGTACCGATTACTAGCAGAGTGCATGCTGTGGGTCCAAGAGTGTCATCCTGGCAAATAACAGTAAAGAACAATTAATTTACCGTTATCACCTTACATAGCTTTTCAGTGAGATGAGATCATTCTCCACACGCTGAATGTGCTCGTTAATGGCTTCAAAGAATCTGTCACCTACGGATATCACACTACATTACACACTGAACATTCAAATCCAGGATGCCATTTTCACAGCTGCATCATTAATAATTCAGAGGACTGTAGGTGTGCATATTTCATACACATTAGACTGTAATTACACACTGAATGAGCCATTATTAGAAACCTGTTGAGATTTACTAGAAAATGCAAAACTGTTGGGTTAAAGGTTAAACTTCATGATCAGCAGCCAAGTATAATGTGTTTATTTTTGTCTTTTCACACACTGTAACCCTGAAATTCTCTCGACACAAATGTCCAAATCATTCAGATAAACTGTCTTTGCACTGCTTAATACAGAATCATTTCCACCTGAACCCATATGAGGATGCTACAGGTAATTATCGAGAGTATTCACAACAAGCGAGTGGGCGTCGTGTATCCTGCATTGTCCATGCTTTACTCAGACAGCATCTGGCAGGTTTGTTGGAGAAATTTCTCTAAGCACAACATCCCAGTGCACTTCAGACAAAGCAACGCCCTCGCAAAAAACTACCTCATCAAAATACTCCGAGTTCACCATGCAATGCAGTGAGGAGTGCTCGGACCTTTACATAGGAGAGCAGAGATCTTCGATCAAGAACACAGACAGAGGCCATCTATGGGCACTGTGAACAACCACCACTGAGTGGAGGTAGTGACGCTAATTATCAGCCACCTATAATGCAGTCCTGAAATCCTCTTCCCAACCCCCACAGCTTGACCCATGTGACCTTAATAGCTCACAACAATATGGCAGGGCAATGTCTCACAGAGGAGTCACATCTTGACTCATATGACCCTTAAAGACTGACTGGAGATTTATGCTTCAGCAAGAAATCTATGCTGTAGCTATTAGTGTGTACCTGAATAAATAGAATAAGTGTTTTTAATCTGTACTGCCACTGTTGTGTATTTTTGACTCTCTAAATAAGCTATACACAGAGCACTGGTCAGGTTCCATCCATGAATGTGTTTTTATCGCTAATAAGCAAAACAAATCCAGTTTTTCCCTCACTGTTTCTGGAACGCACCAACTTCCAACATGTCTGCAAATGTTTATATAAAGGTCTTAACCTCAAACCCCTCTGAAAACTTATGGGGAAACCTCTTGTGCATCACCCTAGCAATGTGACTACATGTTAGCTCAACGTAGCCCACGATTGTTGCGATTGGCCATTTCAGCACCATCGATTGCAGTTTTGCGCTTCTTCTTCCTTTTTTCCCACCTTTTTCACTGCAGTTTTAAAATTTATTAGTGAAAGTGACAATCATCTCTTCAATATAAGGAACATTAATAATAATAGTATCAATATAAGTACTCACAAATGTCAGCAAATTTCTGGAGGGAGACTGTGTAAACTATTGGAATAGATGTAAGGGAATGTATAAACAAGTGAAAAATCTAGAGGGGCAGATTTCAATCCCTAGTCCCAAGATTTTATTTTTTTTTCTATTGGCTGGCACTACATATAAAAGACCAGGACATTAGCACATTGTAATTAACACAATGCACCATAAATGCCAGCAATGACTTTGGCCATTTGCGTAGGTTACATTGCAAGCACTACAAGGTTCCCAGCAGAAGTCTAAATCGGACAGAACAGGCTTGTCCACATCTTTTAGGACCACATTTAAAGTGACAGCCCCATCAGGGGTTAAATACCTGGGCCTTAAGACATTTAAGAAGTAAAGAAGCTTCTTAGGTGAGTGAAGAGACACCTTTATAAACCCCAAAAAATGTAAGTCCAGTTACCTTCAGTTCAAGTAATTAGGGCTATTTTGACGTGGGTCGGCGAGAACCTTACAAGGACACTCAGAGAGCATCCTTGACAAAACCCAGCAAAATATTAGTGGTGAAAATGCATCCAAAGTTCTTACATGTGAAAAAGAACCACTCGAGGGAATGTACTGACATGATTTCCTAACATTGTTGGGGTTCATGTGTGAAACTGGCTTAAGTTTGAGAAAGATCTTAAATCTGCGTGTCTGAAATACAGCAGCACACAAACAGAGTTTGGTGTGAATGTGTCACTCAGGTTCAGCGTGCAATGAATCTTGAGCAAATGAAAGGGAAAATACATTTCAAGTAGTTCACAGATCATCAGGTATGAGCACATGAATGGTCTCCTCTCACCTCAAGTGGTTGTGGGCCCTGCTGGGGGACACTGTGAGGCAGAAGGGGGCTATGAGGTCTTTTGTTACTCTGTGGCTGAGGACATGTGGGCTGGATGGAGACAGGAGGCTGCGAGGAGTACAGCAGGGGGATGGGAACTGGGGGACAACACAGCCCTGTCCCCCCAAACCCCAAGAAGAGTGGGTCAGAGAGGTCACAGCTGTTCGTCAGAGCCGAGGTCTCCTCTGAGCTCATCGCTGGCACCTCCTGTGTCTCACTTTTCTTCATCTCCTCAGACCTCTCACCAACATCCTTTACTCCTCTCTTACTTCTCACCTGCTCACTTTGCTTCCTCCCTCGCTTCTTCTTACTCTTCTTCTGCTGCTCATCTTTTTGTGCTAAGCGCTTTGTCACTGTACTCTCTTGTTCATCAGCAATTGTTTCCTTGGCCTTCTCAATCTTGTTGTCTTCCATCTGCACCTCCTGTGCCGCCCCCGCTTTCAGCCCACTCTCAGGCTTCACCTGCTCCTCCTCTGTCACAACTTTCTCTTCTTTCCCCCCCTCCCCATCCTTCTCTTCTCGCCATGTCTCCTCTGCTGCCTCTTCATCCTCCCACTGACTAAACACTTCCTCCTCCTTTTCCCTCCTCTTCCTCCTCCTCCTCCTCCTGCTCATGTTCCCTCGGTTGCTGTTTTTTGACAAATCCTCCAGTTCCTCACACAGAAGGCTTGGACAGTCTGCAACAGAGTAAAGCAAGAATTTGTTTTTTAACTTAAAAATTTGGACTAAAAATCACTCATCTGGTTTTACTTCAGCATCCTACCTTCTAGTAATATAGTACTCTGGACATTAATGAGTTCATAATTATCATCAACATATTACATCTTGACTTCTACAAGAATACAATAATAACAGAGATACATTTTTGGATCAGGCCAGTCTGAAAAATGAATACAGGCTCAAGAACTTCAAAGCCAGAATTCATTTTGTGGCAGTTAGGAGAAGGCTTTAATCTTTAAGTTCCAGCCTACTGCACTATGTTTTCATTATGTATCATTTTACCCAGTTTATTTGGTCAGATATTGCAAAAATATGCCCAAATATGCGTGTTTTTCCTAACAAGCTCCTGAAAACTGAAGGTTTCTCACCTCAAGTCATTATAAGCTGGAGCTAAGTACTATAAAGCGAGTTCAACATACCCAGGTTGTCTTTGTGTTATCTGGACTCCCTTATCCGAACATATTTAGTCAGGAACACATCAAGCTTTTATCAACTCACTAAGTTAACCTAGGTTTTAACCTGCACATTCACATTAAACTGGGTGGCATCTGTGGCATTATCAACAGAAAACAGATGTTAGTAACAGAGCAGCTGATTGTTCAAAAGATGAATCTATAATATTAGAAAACCATGAACTGGTTGAACACATAATACAGACTGAGAGAAACACAGCTGCTCCAGACAAAGCAGTGGTGGTGAAGGAAAAGCACTGCACAGTAGATAAATACTGACAGCGCTGAATGAATGCATGGACACTCAGTGCTTTGTAAGACAGGAAAAGAGAGGGTAATAAAGTTTAGCCTATTTAAAGCCAGGAGAGAAAGACAGCAAAAATGCCCACTGTTTATCAGAATCTCATGGATTATAATGAGTAAATGACTAAATTAATGTTTAGAAGGCAATGTTAGTTCTCATTCTTTCAGCTGCAGCTTCGCTGTTGGTTGATGATCTGAGAGCAAGTGAAGAGTAAATGCAACAAACAGAATTCAAAGGCAGGCTTAGTCTATGTGCAAATTAAATACAAACCAGCCAAAAGTGGAAGGGAAAAAATAAGGGGAAAAAAAGGTTTATCTAAAAATATATCTCTCTTATTGATCATCTGGGAAGTGTGAAGACACTAGACTCTCCTACTATCCACACAGGAAGTCAGAGGAATCTTCCAGGAATGGTGTCATTTCACAGAGAACTGACAGGTCAGTAGACGCTGATTTCAGACCTAATGATCTCTAATCTAGGGAACAAGTTATCATGGTGAAGCACCCTGGTAAGAAGTGAACCATCTTAATAGCACAGAAAAACCCTGATAACCAGACAAGATAAAATCCGACTCCATCATCAGGCCTCTGCAGTGTTGGGAAAAGTGAACTAACACCTTTTTTTGTGTGTTAACTAGTAAAACTACAAATGCTTCCTTCACCAAAAGGAAAGTTGTTGTTCAATGTCATTCTTTTTATTTCCCAACCGGTTCCCAGGTTGAGCACTCTGCAGACAAGTTAGAGCAGGAAGGCTGAGACGGTTTGGACATCTGTAGGGGAAGTAGTGGATATACTGGACAAAGGATGTTGAAGATGGGAGGGAAAAAAGGAAGACCTCGGAGAGAAAGGTGAGATGCAACCTTTCTGCATATGCGGGTGATTCCTGCCATTTATTAGCTCGAAAAAGGTGAGAAGGGATTCTTTAGCAGTTACCTGGCCGTCCTGCGTGGTAGTGAACCTGCAAATTCCTGTATCGATACCATACCAAGTAAACACAGGGCCAGTATTACTGATACCAAAACCAATAGTGATACTTTTAACTTATAAAAAGGCAGCTTATGTAGGGGAGCTCATCGTTTCATGACTTATGAGATGAATCATCACCAATCTGCAAAATCTGAACACATTTTAATAGGGTTAACATATCGATCCTATTGTGCTAGTATCAATCCGATACCGATACCAGTGATGGTATCAGTACTACGGATAATTGGGTCGTTAGTGGCTCACGGCCTAGCTCCACTGCTTGGCATCTGACCAGACAGGTGACGCGTTCCCTAGATTTTATTTATTGTTGTTGGCTTTTGAGTTTACGCTTTTAATATAAACTTAACTGAGTGGCACTTTTGCTGGGTTGACTTAATTTCTTATGACACTGTGCAATAATTTCATTACATGTTCACTGTCAAGTGGGTCATTGCTAGGTTTTAAAATTGCTGTAGTTAACCAAACTATATTTCTGTCTTTGGTAATAGGGATGGGAATCGAGAACCGGTTCTTGTGTAGAATCGGCTCCCAGTAGTCCAATTCCTTGTTGTTAGTCAGCCTGCCTATCATCCTGCTTCTGTTTCAGTTGCACTTGTGGTCCTGTGTTAAAACACTGGCACAGTCTGCAGCGTGGATATGGATGTTACTCTTATTTCACAAAAGGACGAGCACGGGATGGTAAAGTGGAAACTACATCCAGCTCAGAAACAACTGCATTATGCTGTTAACACTACTTTGACTCTTCACACACACACAGCATGCTAATACTAAGCCAACCAGACAGCATGCTAAAACCAAGCTAGCCAAGAACCCAGAGTGAAAGCTGAGTGAATGTGGGCCCCAGCCCAGCAGCCAGACCCTGAACTTTAACAGGTAACAAACATAAGCAGTTGGGTTGCAGCCTCCATTTCTAGATGTTCATGTTTCTAAAGTAGAATCACTTTCAAGTGTTTTCGTGCTGGTTTTCATCTTTACTTTGTGTTCACAACTAAATACTAAGAGAAAGATCATTTGTGTCACCCTCATTAGGATAGGGATTTGTGCTGTGTGTAAGATTGTAACCTCAGGTTTATATTGTTAAATGGTAGTTTTGAGACAATACGTTTCAGCTATTTTATAGAGTAACATGAAAGTAGTGCAATGAGCAGTGTAACAAATTACTTAATTACTCCAAAGAGAAAGTAACACACACTGCTCACACACACACAAAAAAAAAAGGGAAAATGCCTCCAACATACACAAACATTTGATCACACAACATGCTATTAATTTGCATGAATGTAATGTCTTCAGGAGTTTTTCCTTCCCACTGTCGCCAAAGTGCTTGCTCATAGGGTTCATATAATTGTTGGATTTTTGTATGTAGGTATTATTGTCGGGTCTACCTTACAATATAAAGTGCCTTGAGGTGACTGTTATTGTGATTTGGCGCTGTATGAAGAACTGGATTGAATGTGATATACTGCTTAGTCATGGTGGTGATAAAGAATCAAATCAATAGGTGATATCAATATTGGAATCACTAAACTCATCAATTTCCATCTTTATTTGGGTAATTTTGATTCAGTCCAGCTTCTTTTCTTTTCTCTTTTTAAATTATTCAAACTGAAGCAACCTATATTAATGAAAAGCACAGCTCAACTCTGAAAATGCCACAAAGCAGGTGTATATGCATTCATGAACTCTCACGCCGCTCAGCTACATTGGTGCATTTTCCTCTGTCACTCACTGAGCTGGAGTCAGATAAGGTACCAGTATTTGGAGAAATAACCCGATGATGTTTGAAGATTTCTTTCACATCTCCAGGGTCACGTGGTGACCCGCAGGTCAAATAAAACGCGCGTCGGTCTCGGGAGGAGCAGCAGCCTGCGGTGGCTTAATTAGTGTCCCAGCCGTGCGCCGCCTCGTGCCACCACCTCACCTGACCGTTAATTAACTCTGAGCGGCTAGGTGCTGCTAAACTAGCCAAGCTGTCCCCATCTCCAAACACCGGGTCGTGAATGTTAATAACCGTGTTTTAAGTCGTCTCCGCGGAGCAGAGCTGCACTGGGAGCTTCACTCACAGGGGAAAAAAATAAAAGCTTTAAATAAGACGTCTTTCAAAAGTTTGTTAAAAAATGGTGTTAAAAGTTTGTCCGCGTGCATCAATTGAAAAGGCTAAAACAAGCCAATAAAACAATTAAAGGGCAGCCTGAGTATCCTTACCCAAGTCTTCACCTGCGTCACCGTCTTCGTCCATGAACGCCACCGTCAAAACCAATAAACTTGTGCTAATAATCAATTAAGTCGAGCAGACAACGAAGCGAATGTCTTCATGACCGCAGGTTAATGGGCTTGATTGATTGATTACCTCTCTCTGCTGTGTGACGGAGAATTATCACGTGAAGGGTGAAACAGAAGCAGCCAATCACAGAACAGAACAGATGCACCATAACTCTACTTTTACAAGGAAAAAAGGTGTCTCAAAACCAGGTAACGACTTCCTGTTCAAACAAGAAGCCTGAGTTTTATCCTTATCTAGTCTCGCTCATCGCAAACAGCTAAAAAAAATGCTTAAATAAAAATGGCTTCTGAGGGCTCAGGTCTGAGGAGGTTAAGATATTGCCATCTATCGATTTTATCCCGTTTATTCATTTCTTTCTGGGACAAGTTTTATGTTTATACTTTTTTATTTTACAGTACAGGGGATTTACTTGTGAATCATTCAAGCATAAAAAAGGCATCTAACTCAAGGCATGTGCCATTGAACTTAGTGAATAACCAATTTAGGCACTTTGTTACTAGCAGCCTGTCGCTAAAACAAATCGTTTGGTCCCATTTCTTTATTTTAATATATGAAAAATGTCAAAGATAACACAGTTTGACAGGCATAACATTCTGTTTCTGCATCATCAAGATGATCCCGAAGAGCTGCTCATGGAAAACCTGGCATATGTCAGCATCGGGTGCAGCGTATACTTAAAGAAATTTAAGGAAACTGGAAAAGTGGAGGACAAAAGAAGAAGGGACATACCTAAAGCAACTATACAAAAAATGAACAGCATCTAAAAGTCAAGTTCTCAAGAAATCAGAAATAATCCAGCAAACAGCTGAAACAGGACCCGAGAGATACATCTGGGCTTTCAGTTGATCCATCTACTGTTTATTGAAATTTCATCAAAAATGTTCTCAGTGGAAGGGAAGGCCACTTATCCTTCCACCTATTAAATTCAGGTTCACAGGGGGCCTGGAGCATATCACGGCTGCCGCAGAATAATAGGCAGACTACTACACACTGGCAGAAAACCATTCACATTCACAGTTAATGCCAATTTAGAATCACCAGTTAACCTAACCTCACTAACTGCATGTCTTTGGACTGTGGGATGAAGACAAAATACCTGTAGAGAACATGCAAGCTCCACACAGAAATGCTCCGGCCAGGTTCGATTTGGATTTGAACCCAGGACCTTCTTGCTGAGGCAACAGCACTAACCAGCCCCATTGTGCTACTCTAACGATGAATGATGAATCAGGCGAGTGGTGTTGGAGCTCTTTTCAAAAATTAATGTAATTATGAACACAGAAAAGTGCTGTCAGAATTTGATCCACCGTGCAATACCATCTGGAAAGCATCTGAATGGCAGCGTGACAATGATGCCAAACACACTGTCAATGCTGTAAAACCAAACCTGGATAGAAAAACACACAATGCAACGCTATCAGGAGTTCAGGTTGTGTTGAAGAATGATAGCGGTCTGAACAAATACCGACTTTCAAGCTCATTAGTATTGTACAAACTCTGTTTTTCCCTTATATACTGTATTGCATCTAAATAAATCATTGCACCTTAAGCAGCTTGAGGTTACGGCACAGCTAACAGCTGTACAATGTTTTTCCCATTTTCTTTTTTATGAACCTAATTTCTCAGATCACAAACTATGCCTTTATTGTTGGTTTCTAACTTGCTCCTATGTGTTTAAATGGCTTTTTTATTTTTAAAACAAAACTGTTTGTTGGGGAAAATGAATGAGAACATTTAAAATGACCCTCAATATGAAATAGGTAATTATTATTATATGTATAGTATGTTGATAAAAGTGGATTCTGGGATTACTTGAAGCATTTTTGCTGTAGTAGGTGAGATGAGACGTCTAAAACAAAATCATTCTGTGAATCATGTAGCTTATTTAAACTAGATCATAAAGACAAAATGAATGTTTTGATATAATCACCAAGGCGCTGTAGTTTAGATGCAGATTTGTTACACCTCTTAACATACTAGACTCTAAATGCAGGAAAACTAAAGCCGTGGCTTTGCGGGGGAACTACATGTAGTTTTTAGTTTGAGATCCCGTGAAATAAAGACACGTGTCGCTGCTACACATTTGCTACACATTTGCAAATGTATCTGAAAGATGTTTTATTTTCTTTCAGCTTAAATTAATAATCATGTAATCCGTGAAATCTACGCTGGGACTCCTCATGGTTAACCCAACCCTACAGACTGTCAGCTGAGGATAAACAGCGCTGATCCCTTGAGCTTCTTACTCCACAAAGGTCTAAAAAAAATAAGCCGTTGTAAAATCAGACACAAACGCACCACAGCCTGCTATCTGTATTTTTGTAGTATGTAAAATTGCAGCTGAAAATAACCAGGTTAAAACTGGGTAGTAAATCAGGTTGTCTCTGCCACGGTTGTTCCTCTGTTACCCAGCAGATGGGGTACTGGTTGGACCCCAGGCCTGCTTCATTCTTCCCCAACTCTACTGTGCAGCTTTGGCTCGGCTGTTCCACCCCTCCCACAGGAGGCTCACACACAAGGAGCCCTCAGCCTCTGTGCAGAGGCATATTTCCTCATCAGCAGCCCGCTCTCCAAGGCCAGGACAGCTTGTTAGCTTTGCTGGATGATAGCCAGCTGCAAACCCACTACTCGGGTGACCTTGGTCTCATCTGGTCTCATGCTTGAAGAGCAGGAATAATCTCCTTTCCTGTGTGTCTGTGTTTGTACTCACAAATCCCCACAGACAGTTTATCTAACTTTCAGTGAGGAGGGAAGAGGGAAAAAAAGATATTTTTATGTGTTGACTTAAGAAAAATAACATCTCTGTCTGTTTCTCCCTCGAGGGCCCACAGAGTTAAACAAGTGTAAATGAGGTGCTAAGAAGCTGTGATCACGCAAATACAAATACAGCATCTCTCTTAGATGAAGCACAGAAGAGAGGAGAGCTGCCTCTAGTGTCAGCGGGTCGAAAAGAATGGCACGCAGGCCGAGCTAATGCTGGCTGGTGTGTGAGAACATGGAGGCAGACTTTGTGTCTGCACGCAAGCGCCTTTAAATGCATGTTACTGAAATGTATTCATCTCCTGTTTCAAGTGCTTCGTTGCTGAGTCATGAGTGGACCCAAGAATAAAGCCTGGACCTCAAGTTTGAACAATCTTCAGCCGCCAAGGGAGCTGAGTCACATTTAAGACCGAGATATTGAAGGAAAAGTTCACCCACATTACAACACTGCATGTGATCACAATAAACTCATTTAAGCTTCCCGGTTTGAGGGGATTATTTGGTATTTTTATGCATCTCCTGCAGCAAAACGGATACAAATGGAACTTCATGTGCCCTGCCCACAATGTAGAAAAGAATTACATCTAAATAATTCAACGGTAGCCTGTCTTTCGAGCAACATTGTCTTGGTGGGTAATCCACAGACTACAGTGACAGTGTTCACTGTAACCAGAAGAAAAGGCAGTTTATAACCACTGTGAGCGCTACAAGCTGCAGACTGCATTAAGATGGAAGTGAAGGGTTGAGAAATCTGTAAACCTGGACAAAAAGAACAAAAAGGTCTGCATAGCAACATCAGGTTTTTGTAGTCTGAGTGAAGTCCTGTTTATCCTTGAAGAAATTTTACAAACTGCAGCTTTGATTAGGAGGAGGAGAGGGCACTAATAATGAGGTCAAAACACTTAAACATTACTCCGGTAGAATCAAAATTAGCTGCGCCGAACAGTTAAAGTTTATAATTACATCTTCTGAAAGACTTTTCCAAGTAGCAGGTACATTTGATGGCACCCCTTCATCCAGCCTGTCCTAGTCTACAATGAGCGAGAGGCAGGCACGCCCATCAACAAACCTGTGGCCACTTTTATAGGTGGTGAAAGAAAACTGGATGAACAGAGGGAAGCCATACAGTCACAAACTGCCCCAAAGTGTCACAAACGCCTCACTGGAAGAGCCGATTCAACCCTGAACCTTTTTACTGTGATGTGCATTTAAAATACTTCATTAACTGAAAGCAGACTTGCTGATTGTGGAATGTGCAGTGTTTGCTTATGAGGGAAGATGCATTATTACATATAAAACCAAGGCTGGATTACCTTGACCCCGAGGGACTCGGAAATTCCCTGGTTCATTGAATGTTAATTAGTTTTGGTGATTTGATTAATGGTGCGTTTGTTAGCAAATTAGCACAGCTAAAGTACAATACCTAAGAAAGTGGGGGGTGGTATTGTTTTGTGAGTGTTTCGGGCCTTTTAAGCAGGGAAGTATGCGTCAAACTAATATCTGGGGGGTAGGTAATAATTTGCAGAATATATGACGGTGATGGTGTCTGGTGAAATAATGAGACAGTGCTGTATGTATGTATTAAAGAAATATTGGTTTCTCGCAATACAGTCAAGAAGTTTGGTCTAAAGATAAGAAAGTTCACCTACATGCACCTTTAAAACAAACAAACCTGACCAAGAAGAGTACCCCTGAAACTACAACTGGTTGTTTTTACACTGTAATTTGTATGTTTAATACATATACACAGTGTAATAGTTTGTGAACTTTACAGGTGCTGGTGTGCAAACATTAAGGCTAGCTGTTTCACCATTTCCAGTCACATGTTAAGCTAAGCAGTGGCCTATAGTTTCCTATTTACTGTATGAGAGCGTTCTCAATCTTCTCCGCTAACTGACGTGGTTTCTTCCTAATCTTAAATTGACCCTCATGCATATTTTAATAAGATCTGAAGGCAGGGGGTCAAGGACGTAAACAACATGAAAGCACAAATCCATCCTGCCGTGCATCAGGGGTTCAGGTTGTTGGTGGTGTAATGGGGTGGGGGATATTTTCTTGGAACATTTTGGACCTCTTCAGTACTAAATGAGCATTGGATAACTAGGGATGCACCGATACCGATACTGGTATCGGGGCCGATACTGTAAAATGTGTGTACACTCATACTCGTAAAAGTTAACCGATACCATGAACTGATACTGAATTATTTCATTAATCAGAGATTGGCTTGTCATTTTTGTTGTAGTTTTTTTAGATTGGCCACTAGGGGGACATCCTGCGCTAAACAGGCACAGGGTTAGACGAGTCAGACTGGCAGCTCCAGATAAAGAGAAACTGGAGGCTGCTGTAGCTAGGCTAAACAAAATGTCAGCAGTGTGGACCGGAACAGCCAACTTTAACTCAGGTTTTGGAAAAGCGATGAAAAATGTCAAGAGAAAATCCACGGGCAGTTAAAATAACAGAGGCTCTGACTCATTTTATTGCTCTGGATGACCAGCCAATGCCAGTCGTGGAAAGCATAGGATTCTTCTCAGCATACTCGAGCTGCGATATGAAATTCCCAGCCGCCCACACATCAGGGAGATAATGGTGCCAAAACTTTCTAAAGCAGTAAAGACAAGCAGTGTGTGCACGATGTCAGTCCTTGGTTTAACAGCAAAGTGGACTGATGATCCACAGGCAGATGAGGAGTTTGTTCGTCAATGCCAAATACTTTCGTTATTTTGTTTGTTTGTTTACAATATGGACACTCTGCAACAATTGAAAAGTTTATTTTATTCTCAAACCTAATTTGTATTAATTTTATTCCAAACAGAATTGTTTATTTATTATTCCGAAAGCTCGAGACAGTGCCAATAGTTCAGTGATATTTTGTTAAATTACAATGTGGAGACTCTGCAATAATTTAACAGAAGTGCTTATTTTTCACTTGAAATTTTTTTGTGGTCATTTTTATTAAGATATTATTTATTATCGGCAGAGAATAAAACAAAACCTGTCTTCCAATTCATTGCATTTGTGTGTGTGTGTGTGTGTGTGTGTGTGTGGTAGAAGTATCGGTTTTTGTAATCTGTATCAGCAAGTACTCAGATCCAAGTATCGGTATCGTATCGGTTTGAAAAAATTGGTATCGTTGCATCCCTACCTATAACCTACATTTATCTACAGTAAAGAGCAACAATACAGCAACACCATGTTCTTTATAACTTTGTAACCTGTTTCCAGCAGGATAACACACCATGTCACAAATCTTAGATGATCTCAAACTGGTTTCTTGAACACGACTGTAATCAAACGACCTCCATAGTCATCAAATCTCAATGCAGAGAGCACCTTTGGGTAGTGGTGGAACAGGACACATCATGGATGTGCTGTGTGATGCTATTTTGTCAGTATGAGCTGATGACTTTGTAGAATATACCGTATGTCACAAAGACTTCAAGCATCTCTGAAGGCAGAAGGAGGTCCAACCTGGTACTAGCAAGATGTACCTCATGAATCAATCGATGAGTGTATACATGTGTTGTTGCCATAGTTTTGTCCCATCTGCATTTTTTATTATTACAGCATAGTTTTATCCATTTATAGCAAGTTATTTTTGTGTCTCTTGACTATGGGTCATTGACCTTAATTAAACTTCAGGTTGAGAAACACTGCTGTTGTGAGATTATAGATCATTAGCCACCAAAAAGACAGCAAAGGAATAATTGCACAATTTTAATGTCACACAGTTATGTAGTTCCTTGGTTGTTTGTGTCATTAGTCACAAATTCTTGAGAGGAAAAGAGAGTTTTTTAATCTATTTCAGTTTAAAAGAAGACAGGAGAGGACAGATTTACCCAATCAGGTTTTTTATTTGGAACAGAGTGGCAGATTAGTGACAGGGCGGTGGCGTGGAGGATCCGCCTCCTTTCGCTCACTCAGCCAATGACAGAAACTCAGCCTTAAAAAATGCAAATGTATAAAAACAGGAATGGGAACAGCAAACATAGAGTAGTGTAGCCTCCACTGGGCTTCACACACACAAACACACGCTCACACGCACACTCTCAAACATGCACACTAACACTCACACACACACATACAAATTTACCCTCTTTCTCTCAGACACGCACACACGTCTTATTTGGCTACGCAGGCTTAAATGGCTACAAACGCACACGTTTACACTTTGACAGTCACTTTTAGAAAAGACAGTACGTGTTTATATCATTCCTGCCTGTGAGAAAGTGGCGTGTTGTCTGTCCATCTGTCCTGCGGCAGACAGACAGGTAGACAAGTCAGACAGACAGTGAAAAGACACGGTCAGTGTGTGTGATAGCCACTGTGAGGGACGAGCCGCCCCACATTCAGCAGTGAACAGACTAAACACACCCTCACGCACGCAGAAACACACGCACACACACACACTCGCGTCGACAGGCTAGTCAGTGTACACAAGAGTCTGCTGTGAAATATCAAGGTGAAGCACTCATGCATACGCAAACACACAGGTAGCAGGTTTAGATGAGGTGCAGACACAGGCGCGCACAGGTATTCTTGGACTGGCGACGGGAAGGAGGGAGGGAGGGATGGAAGGAGGGGGCCCAGGTAACTACACACACAGGAGTGGAAGAGTTGTGTTACCTGCATGTGGAAGAGCGTGAGAACTGCTGGAGTAGGTAAACAAACACTCGACCACAGTACATTCCAGCTTTAACTCGCCCCTCTCTTCTTTTAAAGACGCACACTTGGACAGAAAAAAATGCACACACACTCACACACACACACAGACAGAGCCATCCGCACACACCCAGACGAGTATAGTTTTGACTCCCATGCATTTTTGTTCTACAGTACTGAGTATAATAGAAGCTACTAGCCCAGTCGCACTGGTGTGTTTATTGTTACAATCTCTTAGATAGAAGCACAGCCCGCCTGTCTCCTCACGTTGTCCCCTCCCCTCCCCCAAAATGCTCCCACGGCAGGTTAACGTTGACCTCATAAACACTAATTCATTTTCCTCTCATAACCAAAGCTCTAACGGCAAATGTTATGACTGAATTAGTGCACGTGGGAGCAACTTTTTTTTAAAAAAAAAAATTTCATTAAAGCCCCTCACACTTCCAAGAGGCCCCTCCCATCCCCAAACAGAGAGACAATGATGGAAGAAAGAAAAAAAAAATCATAAGGTGAGGCATGCAAAAGGGTGTGTGCGTTTATGGCTGTGTGTGTATGTGTGTGAGAGGGGTGGGGTGGAGGGCGTTTATTGGATGATGGCCGGACGTGGAGTTGTGCTTTTACACAAACAGACCAAACTCTAAACCAACCGGCAACTGATCGATAACTAACCAATAACATTGAAACCACCTGATCTTGCTGGAAATCACAAGTGATGACTATCACTATGACGACGATGATGATGGCGATGACGGCGACGAGGGGTTCGATATGCGCTCGTGTGATATGATTTACAGTCTACTTAACGTCGGCGCGGTGTGTTTCAGTGCGCTGCGAGTTTTATTTCAGCTGTTGTGTGTTTGGTGTGTGTGTGCGTGCGTACGTGTGTGTGTGACAAGAGCACAGCTCATCTAAAGGGATGACGTGATGTGATGGATAAAAACTCTTCATGGTCATGCAGATGGTTAGTGACGCCAGAAAGGATACGCTGATATTTACATATAAACTTTTTTTAAACTGCTAAATACACATCCTCCTGTTTATTATTATTATTACGGCATTATTATCATCATCATCATTATTATTATTGTTCACCATCCAGCCCAAGAACATTGATATATTATTGATTATTATTACTATCCATAACTAGTCTTTATACAGCTTAGAGGAGCAGAGGGAGGGGGGCCTGCCGGTGTCTCCGCAGCGGCTCCTTGACGTTGTGAAACACGCCGAGCGCTGAGCACCGTTTTCTGGTTGGCCGAGCACAGAGCGAGAGGTCAGCGCCACCTTCGAGCAGATACGAGTGTGTGTGTGTGTTAGCGTGTGTTTATGCGTGGCTTTGTGGACGTGCGTTTGTGTGTCTTTGAGCACCAGATTGACGGAAGGCACACAAAAGAGACCTTTCCTCTCACCTTTGACCCCGGGCTCTGTGCGGCCAACCAGACGCTCTGTATGGTTTGTTTTTCTTTTTTTTTTTCTTTTTTTTAAGTGTATGTGTAGAGTGGGGGTGGTGGTGGTGAGAGGCAGAGTAGAGCCCAATCTAATAGTTAGTCTGTCCATAGGCTCACTCCACCCGTCTCCACCCCTCTCCTCTCCCCTTTCAGGCCTTTTTTCAGATTTGCTCCGTTAAAAACAGAAGAGGATCTCTCTCTCTCTCTCTCGCTCTTTTTGTGTGTGTGTGTGTGTGCTGGAAAACACAGGTTGCAAGAGCATGTGTTTTGTTTTGTTTGTTTTCTTACAAAATAATCATATCATTACATACAGAACAAGAGAATCTGTAGAATATTAATAACAACATTTACTTTAAAAACATCTCGCGTGTACGTGTTATTTTTTTTCTGAATATATTTGGATTTTTTTTTTCCTTTTTTTGTCCTCTTTTTTTCTCGTTTTCTTTGAAAAGAAGGTGCCATGTCCGCAGAGAGAAAGGCGCTCTCAAGTATGGAGACGGGAGGAGAGAGGGATGAGGAGACCCGAGCAGATAAGGAGGGTGGGGGGAGAAGAAGAGGAGTAGGAAGGATAGAGGAGGAGGAGGAGGAGGAAGGGCAGGACTTATAGAGTATCTTTCGCTCTTCTCTTGCTCGCTCTTTCTCCCTTCCCGGTGTGCGGCGTGTCTCTCTGGCGTGTCAGTGTTATGCATAAAACTCCTCCTGCTTGTCCGGTTTCTGGTAGGTGACGGTGGCCTGTTTGGGTTCCTCCAGCGTGTAGCTGCCCTCGTCCTTCTTCTTCATCCTGTACACCAGCAGCATCACCAGGAAGGCAGCGAACAGGGCGCCCACCACGCCTCCCACTATCACCGCTGCAGCGAGATGGAAACAAGAGTTAGTCGTGTCAAATTTGCAGCAGATTAGATGCTACAAACACTCAAACACACGCAGAGACAAACACTAAAATGCCATTAGAGCCGCTGGCACGTCTGCGGCCGACTATGAAACAACACGGAGCTGCTTTAGAAACACTTCTAGCAAATCTACCACAGCATCACTACCACCTTCCTGCTAAGTGAAGACGGATGAGCCCGAATGTGCCAAAATACATTCTGTGCTGCCAACCGCTTTGTGTTAAAACTGCAGCCCTGCAGTGCCACATAGCAGTTTAACCCTGTGGGGGCTGCCGGGGCCAATCAGCAGCAGCTGCTTTGTTTCCCACCGTCCTTTGCTTCCTCTGCTTATCTTGTCGAAATGGTTAAAAACGCCCTCATTACAGTGACTGGCATCCACGCCAAAAGCAGGAAACAAGCGCTTTGTTTCCATTCTTTGCGTCGGGAGAGTTTACTTTGTTTATCTCCATTTCTGCTGAAGGGATTTAATTAATGCAGTTTTTCCACCGCGTACTTTCACCGCAAAACGTATTCCCCTCGTCTGCCTCGTCGCACCGTTTTACGTAATTAAATCTTCTATAAGATTTCAGTCGGTTTTATCTTCTTTTGCCCAATCATGCAGTGCGTAACTACAGTCTGTGCGTTTCACCGTGTCTCTTTATCTCACCGTCTCTGATTTTGTTTATACTCAGACTTAAGGAATGTTCACTGCACCATTTCAAGTTGCTGTCAAGATAGCACATAATGAACCACTTGTCCGCGAATTCATAATATCAAGTCATCATTAAGACGAATGACTAAATCAAGGATTTTAGTCATGCTGGTGGGGCTGGGCCATGGATGGCATTGTCATTCAGCCCATCTGTCCACCGCTTTTATCCAGAATTAAATTGGACAGAATGGCCTGAAATTTGGCGAGGATACTGATGTTCCCCTCGGGATGAATTGTGTCAACTTTACTGAGCTCGCTGCATTTCTGAAAGCAAAGAAATTATAATTTTATTCCAAAAAATTTTGTTTGAGTTTAGTTCTGAATAACAAGTGGTACCCAGCCGATGTGCAAGACAGCAATAATATATTTAGCATGTTCGCAGTAAAGAGGACCTATTATGTTCTTATCCTTCTCCTTTTTTCTTCCATATACAGTCATGCAAAAAATAATGCTTTCATACCGCTCGAAGCTTTCCTGTGAAAAGCTGAAAATACCTCATGATTCAGTAGATTGTAGATTCACCTTTAGCAGGAATGAGTGGAAGTAATTGTTTCCTGTATTATTGTATCAGTCTCTCACATCATTGTGGGGGATTTTTGGTCCACTCTACTTTACAGTGTTGTTTTAGTGCATTGAGGTTTGCAGGTTTATGCCTGTCATTTTCATGCCGGCCATTGAAGCACCTTGATTATTTTCTTTTTGAGCCATTCTGTTGTAGGCTTGCTTTGTGCTTGGGTTCGTTGTCCTGTTAAATTGAACTTTAGCTGTTAGACAAATGTTCTCACATTTGATTCTAGAATAATTTGTCATACAGACAAATACATGCTTTCCAGAGGTCTTGTGTAACCTTTCCAAACAAGCCACACTTTTTCAGTCTTTATTTAATTGTACTGTGATGAACTTTAACATTTAACACACTAACTTAAGCATGTAGAGTCTGAGATGTAGCTTGTAGGTTGTTTTTTGGGGGTTTTTGCAGTTTCTCTGAGCATTGCACGGCAGTATGCTTGCATACCTGAATGCTCCAGATCAGGAAAATGCCCAAACTTATGCTCTCACTTGCTGATGATCAATTTATGCATTATGCATTTGATTAGGAGCAGCTGGCTGCTATTGACCTTCTTAACTCTTATTAAAGCAGTGAGAGTGTTCTTAGTTTTTCACATGACTGTATATGTTGTTAGAATAGTAGATGCTCGTATTACTTATAGCCAAAGTTTAATAATAATAAAGCCAGTGTGCGTACCGATAATCAATTTGAGTGAAAAGCTCAGACTTCAGCCAGGCTTTTTGTACTGCTGTCTCTTTATAACATCAAACCAAACCAAACCTGTGTTTACAAGTGGCAGCCAATCAGAAGAAAGCTGGCTTAAACCCAATCAGAAGAAAGCTGGCTTAAAGGGAGAGGAAGCTAAAACACCCTTTTTTTTCAGATTTTGGTGCTAAAAGGGCTCTGTCAATGAAAAGCTGCACTACACTAATACACGTCTACTGTCTAGTCTAAAATATGTTGCCTCCTGCTCTTTACCGATGAACAGGAAATCAGCGAAAACCACAGCCAGAAGTCCACCAATCAGAACGGCTGAAGGAGAAACAGAGAGCCAGTCAGGTCAGGCAAATTGGCTGCTCCTTTCTTTTCAACAACAGCTCTTTGGGATGAGGAATAGGGGGCACTTGAAAAGGAACTGGATTTAGCCAAAGGGGAAAAGGATGAGAAAAAATAGGGGGGGAAAGGAGGGGTTGGATAACCCGAGAAGAGGATCTCTTGTTCTCAATGGGTCAAACGGGGCTAAGCAGGACATTCTGTTATGGTGATGAATCTGCACTACGTGAATGCGAGGTGATGCCAGATTGTCAGAGCAGCTTCCTGAAAGCAGGGAAAGAACACAGGAGGCAACTGGGAAATGTGTTCTGCCAGTCTAAGGGGTGATTAGGAAGACATGCTCAGAGACAGACAGGTGGATGAAAAGGGCTCGAATTCAGACACGACACACATGGAAGCCATTTTCATGATCTTTAGTGATGGATAATCTTACCTATCAAGACCTCTTTTCTCTCCAGGATGTTCTTCTGCGGCAGCTGGGCCGCGGAGCTGCCTCCGTCCACAGAGTTGCCGATAAGATCAGGTCCACCCGCCATTTCGCTGCCAAGATTATTGCGGCGTCCATCCATGATTTCATAATCTCCACTTGGTCCTGCAGCACCCACTTCGTTGGTGCCCTCCTGAGATGGGGAACAGAAAGTGAGACCAATGAGGAAACTTAAATTTGATGTAATCCCATTTCCCCCACAGAGCCGCTGCACTGAAACGCATCCAAACCAACACAGAACTTTCCATGGCACATGTTCGCCTTTAAAACAATGAGCCTCTGTATATTAGGATGGGAGAGAGCTGCAGATTGTCCAACCCATCCAGTATACGCACAAAATCTGGCAGCTTAATTATATGTGGAAAACCAGAAAAATCTAAATGGATCGTGGTTTAATGCAGTTTCTGTGATTAACCAAAAGCACATGTGTCAGAGAAATGCCTCTGGTCTCGAATAACGAAGAGGCAGTTAGAAGAAGAGCCGTTACGGTTTACTGGACCATAAACTGTATTTAAAAGATGGAAGAGCAGTAACAGCATGATGCCACATGATGTTTTGAAGCCTCAAGTTGAGCATTTTGGTCTTTACCGTCTTGATTTTAGGAAACTGAATGTGACAGTCTGAATGAGGGAGATGACACCTCTTCCTTTCTGCCTCTAAAATTGAACCATATTTTAGAAAATTGGAATTACATTTAACAAGACGTTCAACCAGCAATTGAAGCGATAAACTCATCAGTAAAGTGTTTATTGAGCTCACAGATCAAGTAAGCATCTCACTGATGTTGTGGATGCTGTTCTTGTTTTTTGAGTCTGAGATGAGGACACTAAGACTACTGTTTGTTAGATTTGGCAGCTTGAGCCCAGAAGTGATCGGCCTAACTTTGCATAAAGAGTGGAAACAGCAGGAACCAGCGAGGGTAACTCTATACAGGTTTAAATAAATATCACAAGTCCCGAAGTTCACAAATGAACATTTTTCATCTCGTTTGCCTAATACTGCCTGACATGAGCTGAGTCCTACCTGTGTTGTTGTGGGCTGCTGTGGGCGGGTCGTCCTCTCTGTTGGCACCGCCTGAGTCGTTGTCATCATGGGAACCCTGGGCCTGAAGGGGGTCCTGGTCTTGACAGTGGTAGCAGTGGTTGTTGCAGCTGTGGTGGGCTCAGGGGTTGACTCTGGTGTGATGGACATGTCTTCTTCTGTAGTGGTTACGTCAGTGAATCCTGGGTAAAGCAAGCTGGGCTCTGGCGAAAGGTAGATGTCTTCCTCTTCTTCTGTGGCGCTCAGGTCATCTGAACCAGCAGAGGGCGCTGCACTTTCAGCAGGACTGGCTGCAGGATTGGTGGTGAACATAGGAACGGCAGCAGGGGACCGGGGCGCGGCAGTGGTCTTGGCGGCGGCCCGGATTCTCTCCAGCTCTCTCTCACGTTCCCTCTCTCTCTCCCTCTCTCGCTCTCTCTCCCTCTCCCTCTCTCTCCCTCTCCTTCTCTCGCTCCATCTCTCGGACACGCTCCCTTTCCCTCTCCCTTTCTCTCTCCCTCTCCTTTTCCAGCTCCCGCTCCAGCTCCCTCTCCCTCTCCAGGTCCCTATCCAAGAACACGCCGCTCTCTCCTTCAGCTTCAGTGAGAAGAGGGGTGGTCGTCGGGTCCTCTGGGTTGGGGCTAGGCTCTGCTGCAGGCGGTGCAGAGGGAGCGAGGTCAGTTGCTTGGGTGGTGGAGAGAAGTAGGGGTTCCTCTGTGGTGAACGTGACAGCTACTGATGTTGGCCTCATACCGATCTCAGGAACTGAAGAGGAGAGAATTAGAACAAAAAATGAAATAAGACAAGAATTTGAGTCAAATTTGACACAGTCACTCCATCACAAGCCACCACCCGCCCACCCACACACACACACACACACACACAGATAACAGTAGATCAGAAACTGAGACTATTGCTGGCTCATTCACTTCACACTCAGTAGTTTACTCTCTAGTGACACTTCTGACACTTAATCTGATTAGTCTTACTCAGCCAGCAGATTGCATCGTCCCTAACAGGTGTCCCCGGTGTATATCCCTAATACCTAAAGTTCCCCTGATGGCTTACTTGATGGGCTGCAGTAGAAAATAAGAAGAGATGTGTAATGGAAGAAAGAGAGGAGCATACAAGGTCTGATACGGCTGTGCTGTTCTTCATGCAGCATCATTAATCCTGTCATGCCTAAGAATGGCGAAGCATGTCATCACATCTGAAAATCACTGAAAATCAATGCTTAAATACTGTATGCCTCATCACCGCAGGATCCACTATGATCACAGAAGTTGCACCGAGCAGAATGATGTCTTTAACTATCTGTAATATCTGAAGCTGCAGCCACACAGGTTTAACGCTGCTCGAAGGCAAGAGGTGTCGGGATCGATCCAAATATCCATAGTACCGATATCAAATATGCATCAGTACTGGACTGGATTGATACTTTGTTTCTATCGTCTAACTTCAGTATGTAGCTCAAAGAGCTTTATGCTTAATAAACTATTTTCTTGGAAGAGAACGGAAGATAAACCGAAATGCTTTAGAGGCGGGCACAATTACACTCCTGATGTCCAAAAAAGTTTTAAAATTGTTTCAAAATAGAAGCTGAAAGAGTGTTTTTTTTCTTTTGTTAGCTAAGTATTGTGGAAAGTACAAATCACAGTGGTTTACTCATCATTAAAACCTGTTCAAAATTTGAAAATTGATGCTAATTCATCTCATAAATCATTCAACACCCTGTATTTAATTGGTATCGGATCGATACCAAGGTTTGCAGTATGTGCAGCAGTACCAAGGACCATCACCAAAACAGACAGCATTCACATTGTTGTATTTTTATAGCTTTTAATAAGAGAATGTGGCAAAAGTTGCCTTCAGAGTTTTCTGAAAGGCGTCCTAGCAGGTGGGTAACATAGCAAAAAGGGCTTAATTTAACCTAAACTATCATTTTGCCTAAATTAAACCAAACTGCAAGCGAAAACTGAAAATAAATAAATGAATAACCCAGCTAAGTCTGCACTGGTAACTCACATGGGAGATGAGCCCCAGTCTCCTGGATGAATCACACACACTAATCAACCTACAACCATCCCCATAATTTACAGTCAACAGCAACCGTGATCCTAGAGCAACATTTATTATGACGTTGCAGGAACAAGTCAACATGGTGACATCGTGTCTAAACTTGTAAGGCTTCCACATGAAGCTGGAACTAAGCTCCTCAACCAAAGGCTTTCCATAATGCAGCACGTTAATATGTTTTATTAAGATACACCTTCCCTGGTAAACTGCCCACCTTTCAGACTCCAAGGCCAACCATTTGAGGTTTGAGGAACCCCAAGCTTGGGCAACCATCATGACATCATCCCCAGCTCTTAAGCAGCAATTAATTTGTCCTTGACTACACATGCAGCTATCTGCTTTATTCATCAATAATCCCTTCGGTAATTTTTAAACGCTAAGGAAAGATTTTCTGCAGAACTACAAAAAGCATCATTCAGCTTTTTTTTCACAGCCAGCTAACAAACAAACTGGGATTTATGAGTACAAGTGTCTCCGCCTCCATCTTTCCTTTAAATGTCAGCAACACAAAAGCACACACAGAGGGTGCTTAACTATGTTTGGTTTGTTTGGTTTTTTTTGGTTGCTTTTTTAAATCGCTTATAAAATAGTGAATGTAATGATGACTTGGCACCCCAATTAAATCGCCATTTTCTGCTCATTTAGCTGTCTGACAGCAGAAACTTAACAATGTGTACACGAGAACGACTGCTGCAAATTACGAGTTCAGCTGTGTTAAAAACCTGGAGAAGAAAAGAGAAGAGAAGAGTGATTCATTTTCTTTTTAAATCTCATAATGCTATTACTCCACCCCACCTTTCATTCTGTTATAGCAGTGAAGCTCTTTGGGTTGAAAGAGAAACAAATTGAATTTACAGGCACAAAAACACGAAGGCTGTAGTGGAGGTGGAGAGGATATCGAAATATGGACTCCAACAATGCAGCTTCTGTTAAACACATCAGACACCACAACAAGAAAAAAAGAAAGAAAGAAAGAAACTGGATGGCTCTGAAGCAGCTGTGACACAAAATGAACATCTGCCTGTTAAAAACGAGCCCTTTCTTTGGGCTCTGTAGTTCGGTTTGAGCTTAAGCAATTTGCCAGGCTGCTGTTTCAGCCACAGGGGGTGCCTCTGCTACACTCTCCTGCTTTGAATGGTAATTTATTTTGAGCGTGCTCGCCACTAGCGCAGCGCCCGAACTGAGGGCAGCCCTCAATGAGTCATGCTTAATAAGGGGCGCCGCGCTCAAGCTTCGACAGCAAGATCAGAAAATCAACCTGAATTACAGCAATGTGATTTACATTAAGTAGGTAATTCCTACAGCCCGGCTCGAGCACGGGCCGCACGCTCGCACATAGGTGCCCGCGACACGCTGGTGTGCGTGTGATCGTCTAATCTGCATGGACTGTAATCTGATTAGAGTAAATAAGATCTCGGGGAACTGAGCTTCAGTTAGTGCTTGTTTGTAAGGGGTGTGTCTGAGGAATTTTCTTAATAAATCTGTTCCCGAACTTCTCAGTCGAGCCACACGGCATGTTTATGTGGTGTGACTTTGGGTGTGTGTGTGTGTGTGTGCATGGCCTCCACGCATGTGTGTCTGGTGAATAGAGGAGGGACTGTGGGGGTCTTCGGGGTCAGCAGATTGAAACCCGACAGCTGTTGAGTCTGAAAGAACCAGGGCATGAGTGTGTAACCTCACACACACACATAGATATATATATATACACTTACAGCCAGAGCCAGAGCCCGAGTAGAGATCCTCGTCGTCGTAAAATTCATCTCTCGCCGACCCTTCGTCATCGATAGGCAGCGACCACTTCTGTCCCTGTTAGACAGAGAGATTACAGATGACTGAGAAGTTTGTCATTTCATTTGAAAGAGAAACCACTTTTGCAGATTACACACACACACACACACACACACACACACACACACACACACACACACACACACACACAGAGTTGTCTGGTGCAGCTGCATTATGTTGGACAGGGGAACATCTGTCTGTCTGTGGCTCTATGGAGGAGCATAGTTAATGAGTTGATCTAAAGCTGGGATTTTGGCAGTGGAACATCAAAGCTTTTAAGGAGAGAAGAAGGGGGTGGGCGGGTGGTGGTGGTGGGGGTTTCCATTTTGTCTCTGCGTGTGTGTCATTTGCAAGTGATGCTCGGCCCGTAAAGCAGCAAAGCAAAGGAAAGCAATTAACTTCTGAACTTCATTCCATTACGGATTAATAGGGTAATATTTTTCAATATGAAGTGTTCGGTATTTAAAATGATAGGAAGTACTCATTTTTACACTCACAAAGCAAACGTGATATCTTTAAATTGCTTGTTTTGTCTGAGCGGCAGTCCAAATACGACGGTTTGAAAATTACTGAGAACGGAGGCCAGCAGCAGCAGGCACATTTCAAGCAACCAGAGCAGGAAAATGACACCAGTGCTTCCTGCCTGCTGTGACACAGAGCTGGCAGAAGCATCTGACCGATTAAAAATCACGAAAGTTTCTAAAGTTTATTCCTACAGACTCGTGAATGTCTGCACCAAATTTTAATGGAAATCAATCAGACACTATTGAGATATGTCAGCAGTCTAAAACCCAAAAATCTATTCAGTCTACAAAAATGTAAAACGGGAGACAACGTTTAGTTTGATGAATGGCCTGAGAGGATCACAACTGTCCGCAGATCACTTATCGCCATCTCAAAATAATTATGTGGCTCGGAGGTGAAAAATATCACCCCCCCCCCACACACACACACTCTGTCTGAAATGTGCTCATAACTGTCTTGCAGATCATTTCACAGCGTCCTCCCTTCTCATCACTCCAGCTTAATCCAAGCCTCCTCCACGTCAGCCCGCGAGGAGGAAGCACAAGCACGCCGACCCCCACCGGGGTCAGGTAGGGGAGATTAGTGAGGGATCATTCAGGGGTTGAATCTCTGAAGTGAACGACCTCAGCCTCCGTTCACTTTGAGGCTGATCCCTCCTCCTCTTCTCTCTCTTCCTTCATCCCTTTCTCTCGACCTGAATCCCACATCCGTGCGATGTTTAAACGCACACTTTAGCACTCAGAGATTTTTCCCATCACACAGGGTCAACTAATGCTGCTATCGAGTGCATGCACTTAAGAGATGCCGCACGCGCTGCAGTGCAAAGATAGATTCAACCTACAGAGGTGTTTATGCACAGTCAGGAACGTCCAGTCAAATATTTACAGACCGCCTTTCTATACTGACTTTTATTCACATGCTAAATATTTTACCTGTTTTTTTCAATGATTAAATAGTTGGATCGTTCACATCGAAGCCGAGTCCCTTTCATTTTGACAAAAACTGTTTTTATGCTAAATATCTTAAAGCGTTTACTTAAAACCATCTTCCAACGATTTAAACACGTACTGCATTGTGTGTGTTTGTTAAAAGATGTAATTTTCTGTAACGGAGATTCTGCTACTTGGGGGCAGCTGAACAAGAGGCCAATGCAACCGAGATTTTATCTGCTTCTCAAGTCGATGTGTTCACACTGCTGGCAAACATTTGCTTATTTGCATATCAAGCAGGCGTAAAGGACCATTAGCATGAGGAGTTGTGCTTCTGGCCATGATGAAGTCCAATAAAGACTCCGCTTACAGCTTTGTAAATTGAATTATTTGGATCTTTAACTGCCAAATGCTCCAATCAGTCACTACCACGGTTTTACAGCATTTTGGATTTTTAGCAGAGCCTGAACAATATACCATTTAAGAACCGATAGTGATATTAGGTGATTTTAAAATCTAATATTTTACTATATCGGCTGATATTTTTTTTCCTGTCAGACACATGAAACATAAACAGATCCTCCCAACATTTGCTATGTGCTGATCGGCAAATAGCTAATATCGGCTGATGATATCAGCCCGCCAATATATTAGTCGGGCTCTAATTTTTAAGATTCATCTGAGTTTTGTTTCTGTTTTTTGCTGAAAACAGCTGCAGTGCTGTGTGAAAATGAAACTGATGAGAGCAGCTATGTGAGTGAATTAAAACAGCAAAATTGTTGGCCATAAACGCGAAATGACATCCTGTTCTCGCTCCCAGCTGGTGGCAGCAGAGCCTGGTTCTGCCAGAGGTTTCTTCCTGTTAAAAGGGAGTTTTTCCTTTCCACTGTCACCAAGTACTAGCTCATAGTTGGCCATATGAATGTTGTGGTTTTTGCCCCATCATTGTAGCATCTTTAACTTACAACATAAAGCCCCTTGAGGTGACTGCTGTTATGATTTGGTGATTTGCTCGTGATAAACATTTCTCAAGTGATTCTTCGACAATAATTTTCAACTTGCAGAGAAGAGTTCAACATCTGAAGATTCCCTTCTGGGATGGGTTTCATATCGTCAAAAAGGGTATTTAACCCCCCCCCCCCCCGAGTTTTTTTGTGCATAAACCAAACGGTGACCAAAGACTGAAGTCCAAAATGAAAGTTAAGTATCTCGGGAAATAAGGCAAATAAGGAAGCAGCCTATCCCTTGTGTTAAAATATGATGAGAAGCTTTCTAGGGGATCAATATTGGACGAGTTGGGAGTGAGAAAGTGTTGAATGAATGTAAAAATGGCAATATTTACACTACAACCTTTACACTAGTTTATTATTATAGCACACAAACACAAATCAGGCCCAATTTTGAGGTCTGGCATCTTTCCCAAAGACCTGGATGCGCTGAGGGTCAACCCACCAAATTTCAGATAAGTGGATGATCTGCTCTCAGCGCAAAAACGGAGCAGACCAGAAACGCTGATGTATACTGATGTTATACTGTAGAGTCAATCAGTGCATTGCTGGCATAAAAAAAGATCATAAATGTGCTTAAGAGGATGTTTTCTTAAATACTTCAGAACTGTTGCTACGCTTATTGGAGTAACGGAGCGCAAAGCTTTTTAACGCTTCCTCCAACGTGTATACGTCGTGTATATTTTGAGCCCAGACCGAGCTCAGTAGCAAACAGTAAGTAGTGCAATAATCCAATGACTAAAAAGGGTTTAGTTTTTGCTCCAGGTATTGGAAAACAGTCAGTCTTCTGCTGAAAATCTGACCAAAGCAAACTTATCTCTTCAGCAATCTTAAGCCCATCCCCAGGGCCTGCAGAGCTGTTTTTCTTTCCCTTTTTTTTGCCAGCCAGTGTGATGCTAATTGTGCACACACAGAGGAGCACAGGCTCCTCCCCGGCTCCAGACAGAGGAAACCTGATGCCTTTAAAAGCCAATAAAAGCATAATGGAATCTAGAGACCCGAATATCTCAGTCCATCACATCACAGCATGAGGTGGAGCTGAAACGCTATATGTACCTCCTGAAAATAAAATTGACTTAAAGCTGTTTGGAGGCCGGACACAGTGAGGAGATTGGTCTGAGAAGTGTGTGTGTGTGTGTGTGTGTGTGTGTGTGTGTGTGTGTGTGTGTGTGTGTGTGTGTGTGTGTGTGTGTGTGTGTGTGAAGGCCTGGAGATGTCAAACCCGGACAGTACTGAAAATACCAAAAAAAGACACACCAGTGTGAGCAGGGTGCAAATGTGTCTTTCTCGTATCTGTGTGTGTGCTATATTCCAAGGATCACTTTTACAATGAAGGCCGTTGCTATGGGCAACCTTTGCCTTTCACAGAAATTCCCATCTCCCAGTGAGAAGCTACCAGACACACACACACACCCTCACACGCACGTATGAGAGCTCTAACTACATAAGCAAAGGTGTTATGTAACGTCAAAAAAACAACTTTAAAAAAAGAAACCCCACCATCAGTCTCCTCCTCAGGCTCTCCCCCTCTATCGGTTCCCCCCTTTCTGCCTCCCTTCACCTCCCCCTGAATCCACAAACTCCGTGCCAGTGTCTCCCTGTCCTCGCCCCACTTTCCTTTCATCTTAAACTCCATTCCTTATCTCGAGGCTAGCCCCCTAAATTCAGCATGACTGCCAAATAACAAACACACACACAGATACTTAAATAAACACACCCCGCCCCTGAGGGCGGCACCAGAGCCCACCCCAGGGGCCCCATTTACAGGTCCACACATACACACACACACACACACACACGCGCAATCAACAACCTCCAGGACTCCAGGAGTACAGCTGTGGAGCCCCTGTTTGTTTAGTTGTGCATCATCTACATTTATCCCAACATTTAGGAGCAATATAAAATCCACCTCGGTGCCTCGACATGCTTAAATTGTGAGTCAATATGTGCGAATTCACAGCGTGGCGGGCAGCCGTGCGTCACTGCATGTAATTACACTGAGTGTGCGTCTGGACCAGTGTAATCACAGGTTTTGTCTGTGGTGTGGTGCGCACGTACATGCAGACATAAATGCTCCTCGGACCTTTAGTGTGGGTGTGTGTTTTTTACAGGTTTTTCTTTTGGAAGAGGGGGGCAGCTCTGCATTTCGCCTGTGTTTCGGGGGAGCTATAAACAGCTGTACTTTCAGCCTGCACCACATAGCTAACCAACCACAGCGAGACGCAACGAGCTCCCCATCCACCGCACGCATAACCTAAGGCCAAAATCATCTGTGTGCCCTTAATTTCCCTCCACCGCTGCATTTTGTTCCCAGTCGTTATAAAAGGAAACTGTAAGATGACAGCTATATATTCAGCTGGATCTGCGAGGTGAATGCAATCCTGGTTTTTGGCAATGCATGAAGCAATGCCATTATGAGGCATGCGGTGCCAGCTGGAGTCATTTTTAAAACAATCTTGTCAGGAATATATAATTTTATACATACATATATATATATGTATGTATGTATGCACTCGTGTAAAAAAGAACAGAAGAAAAAATGACATTAAGGGGCTGT